AACTGACTGAGCCACCCAGGCACCCCTCTCCTACGTTCTTCTCCTATTACTTTCACATCTTCTTGAGATGGATGTTTTGAGTCATTGATTTTTAGCCTTCTTTTATTATGGATGCTTTCAGGAATATTTGTGTACAAGTTTTCATATGAACACATATATTCATTTCTCTTGGGTATATGTCTAGGAGTGGAATTGGTGGGACGTATGGTAACTTTATGTTTAAGTTTTTGTGGAACTGCCAAACCATTTTCCAGAGTGACTACTCCATCTCACATTCTCACCAGCAATGTAGGAGGACTTCAACTTCTCCATATCCTTAACAACACTTGTATTCTTTTCCAGCTTTATTGAGATATAATTGACAAATAAAAATTGCACATATTTAAAGCATACAGTGTGAATTTTAACATGTGTACATTGCAAATGATTACCACAGTCAAGCTAATTAACGTTCATCACTTCACATATTATCTTGTGTTCTCTGGAGCACTTAAGATCAACTCTCTTAGTAAATTTCAAATATACAATATAGTATTAACTATGGTCACCATGCTGTACATTAGCTCTCTGGAACTTATTCATCCTGCATAATTGACACTTTGTACCCTTTCACCCACATCTCCCCATCTCCTCCATCCCCAAGCCCCTGGCAACCACCATTCTGCTCTCACCTTTTATGAATTCCATATCTGTAGATCCACATACAAGTGAGACCATGCTGTATTTGTCTTCCTGTGTCTGACTTATCTCACTTAGCATAACGTCCTCCCGGTTCATCCTGGTTGTCACAAATGGCAGGATTTCCTTCTTTTTAAAGGCTCACTAATATTCCATCATATATACATACTACATTTTCTTTATCCCTTCACCTGTCAACAGACACTGAGGTGGTTTTCCTACCTTGGCTATTGTCAATAGCTACAGCGAACCCAGGAGGGAAGATAACACGTGAAAAGCTCATTTCATTTCCTTGGGCTATATACCCACAAGTGGGATTAATGGATCATATGGTATATTTTCCAAAGAACCTCCATCCTGTTTTCCACAATGCCTCTATCAATTTACATTCCCATCAACAGAGTACAAGAGTACCTTTTTCTCCACACCCTTGTTAGCACCTGTTATCTCTTGTTGTTTTGATAATAGCCATTCCAACAAGTGTAAGGTGATAGCTCGTTGTGGTTTTGATTTGCATTTCCGTGATGTCAGAATTAATGATGTTGAGCACCTTTTCATATACTTGTTGGCCATTTGTATGTCTTATTTGGAGAAATGTTGATTGAGGTCCTTTGACCAGTTTTTTTTTTTTTTAAGATTTTATTTATTTGAAAGAGAGAATGAGATAGAGCACGAGAGGGGGGAGGGTCAGAGGGAGAAGCAGACTCCCCGCTGAGGAGGGAGCCCGATGCGGGACTCGATCCCAGGACTCCAGGATCATGACCTGAGCCGAAGGCAGTCGCTTAACCAACTGAGCCACCCAGGCGCCCCCTTTGACCAGTTTTAATTAGGTTATTTGGGGGGGGTTGTTTTTTTTTGCTATTGAGTTCTTCATATATTTTTGATACTAACTTCTTATCAGATCTAGTTTGCAAATATTTTCTCCCATTTCAGGTGTTGTCTTGTCACCACTTGTTATTGTCCATCTTTTTTCTTATCGCCATCCAAGTGGGTGTGAAATAGTATCTCATGACTAATGATGTTGAGCATCTTCTCATGTGTTTGTTGCCATTTGCATGTCTTCGGAAAAATGTCTGTTCAAATCCTTTGTCCGTTTTTAAATTAGGTCTATTTTTTAAAAAAGACTTTATATATTTGAGAGTTGGGGGGAGCATGATTGGGGGAGGGCAGAAGGAGAGGGAGAAGCAGACTCCCCAGTGAGCAGGGAACCCAATGCAGGGCTCCATCCCAGGGGCCCGGGATCATGACCTGAGCCAAAGGCAGACACTTAACCGACTGAGCCACCCAGGCGCCCCAGGTCTTATTATTATTTTTTTAATGTATATTAATCACAATTATTTTAAAGCCTGTATATAATAGGTCTAATATCTGGATCTCCTGTGTCTTTCAAATGTTATTTTTTTTCCTCTTAGTTTTTGGTTATTTGGCCTTATCTTCTGATACGCTGGGTGATTTTAGATATAATGCCAAATATTGCATATGAAAACTTGTAGAGATAATTTGAAGTTTTGAGTGGTGGTATTTTCCTCCAGAGACAATTCTTTTTCCTTCTGACAGGCAGGTAGGATGGAATCAGATCATCTTACTCCAATGAGATTGAAATGATTTGAATCTCAAATTTGAATTTGAGCACTTGGGTGTCTCAGTCGGTGAAGCGTCTGCCTTCGGCTCAGGTCATGATCCCAGGGTCCTGGGATGGAGCCCCGCATCGGGCTCCCTGCTCAGTGGGGAGTCTGCTTCTCCCTCTGCCTGCCACTCCCCCTGCTTGTGCTCTCTCTCTCTCTTGCTCTCTCTCTGTCTCTGTCAAGTAAATAAATAAAATCTTAAAAAAAAAAAAAAGAAATGATTTGAATCTGGACTTCAGTCTTTGTGAGAGTCAGGCTATTTCCAGTTTGTTCTTATCTCTAGCATGTCAGGGATCCTAACTAAAAGCTGGATTTCTTCCACGACCTCCCCTCTTGCCCTGCGAGACTGGCAAAACCTCAGCCCAGCTTCTCAGCTTTGAAGCCACCCACCACTTTCCATTCAGCTTCTCTGCCTTTCGGTTCCTCTGCTTCAAAGCCAAGCTTTCTGGGCTGCATAGGCCTCAAGGGGAAAAGCAGCATCCAAAGTCAGGCCTAACTTTCTGCTCCTCCTCTCTCTAGGATGCCGGTCTTCAAGTCCCTGATGCCTTCATAGCTCTCCATTGACTTAAGAAACTTTTCTTTATAGATAGTGATTTTGTTTCCCTTTTCTAGTTCTCAACAGAAGGCTGGTCTGACCTGAGCTAATCAGCATCTCTGGTATTGGAAGTCTCCAATATATTTCTTTATCATACTTTGCCCTGGTTCTCAGTTCAAGAGTTGGAGTCGTAACCACTTAAGTCTACCCTTACTAGAAGAACACACATGCATTTTAACTTAAAGTGTTTATGTATGTATTTATTACTGATGCTCTGACATAGGACCAGTCCTTTTCTGGTAATAACGGTCCACTGATTAGGGTTCACCAGCTCTTACATAAGCCACACCCATAATGTATTCTTTATAGGGTCTAGTTTCCCTTTCCCTAAAAGTGCAGACATAGTTTTGTTTTTTTTTTTAAGATTTATTTATTGGGGCACCTAGGTGGCTCAGATGTTTAAGCATCTGCCTTCAGCTCAGGTCGTGATCTCTGGGTTCTGGGATCAAACCCTGCATTGGGGTCCCTCCTCAGTGGGGAGTCTGCTTCTCCCTCTCCCTCTGCCTCTCCCCTTACTTAAAAAAAAAAATCTTTTTAAGATTTTATTTATTCATTTGAGAGAGAGAGCGTGCACGAATGGGGCACAGGGAGAGAATCCCAAGCAGACTCCTCACTGAGTGCAGAGCCCATCATAGGGCTCGATCCCACAACCCATGAGATCATGACCTGAGCCAAAACCAAGAGTCAGACACCTAATTGACTGAGCCACCCACGTGCCCCATGGAGACATAATCTTAAGGCAGTTGTGAAGCAATCTGATTACAGATTCTTTTGAAAGTTTTATTATTTCTCACCCTAAGTGTTTATAAGTATCTCACCCATGCTTAATTTGACAACCATATCATTTTTAGCAACTCATTTTATCTAGTTTTTCCAAAGTATTCAACGTGGCTTTCATAGAAATAACAGTGGTCTTCCCTTTTGCGCATAGTTCTTCTGTTTAACTGAATTACATGTTTAAGTAAATGCTTAAATGTTTTGTTGAAATGTTTAAAGTTTAAATTTTTAATGAAATGGTTAATAAATGACATGTAATTAAGTTACATGTTTAATTAAATGACATAATTACAACAAAAAGTACAATGTGCACATACAGGTTTAAGAACAGACACCATGAAGCCTGGGTGAGCACAGGACTCAGCTGTTGGGAGCCGAAGATGATCCCAGCAGCAAGGGTTGGGCAGACCACGGGCACTGGTTAGAATGCTTTGTACAGGGGACGGAATGTGCCGGTGAGCGCGTTGAGTGAGCTAAGTGGACGCTAGGTCTGTGAGGCTGGGATAGCGGCAGCCTAAGAGGTAGAGAAGGAGCTCTGGAAGCTGTCAAGTTCTTAAAACTGTGCCTGATACATCATAAGCACTTAATGAGGTTATGTTATTGATGTTATGATTGTTTTCATCATCCTTGTCTGGGATGTCTCGAAAAAAATAGGAAGGAGCTCAGATCTGACTCCTGCCCTCCTAATCCAGGCCCTGTTCTGAGCTGAAGCTCTTCTAAAGAGCACCGGGCAATAATAAGGAAGCTGTGGTGCATCCATGTAATGGAACACTCAGCAGTAAAATGGAATGAGCAATGGGTACACACAGAAATCTGGCTGCATCTCAGGGGCACTATGCTGAGTGAGATGAAAGAAGCCAGTTGCAAAAGGATGCCTACTGTGGGATTCACTTCTATGACAGTCTGTTAAAGGCAAGACCACAGCATAATGATGGGGAACAGAGCCACGGTGGCCGGGGGGTTACAGGTGGGGAGGGGGTGTGACTAGACAGGAGAGCACAAGGGAGTTTTTTGAGGGGATGGACCTGTTCTGCCTCCAGATTTGGGTGGTGGTTATTCAAACCTCTACTATGTGTTCAGATTCATAGAACCATATTCTAAAAACAACCAAATGTACCATCTGTTAATTTTTTAACAACTCAATTAAAACTCAAGTCTCAAGTAAGAAGGAGTGTCATGGAGCACATCGCTGTGTCAGGGCCTCTGGGCTGGCCTGGCTGCACGCGCTGCCTGCCTGGTTCTCTGGTCAGCGGGGCCTGTGCACCCAGGCCTCGTCCTCCGCCTGAGCTGGCATCACTCACTGGCTTTTCTCTTCCTTGTGTTAGATCGGAGCTGGAGGGAGCATCACTGGGCTGAAGTTTAACCCTCTTGATACCAACCAGTTTTTCACCTCCTCAATGGAGGGAACAACCAGGCTGCAAGACTTTAAAGGCAACACTCTCCGAGTTTTTACCAGCTCAGGCACCTGCAAGTGAGTAGCCTCACTAGGAGGGAAAGGGCTTCTGGGCTCTCGGTGTAGTTCTGGTGAGAGCGTCCAGATCTCATGTGTGTCCCCCATACCTGACACAGGGGAGAACTGCAAGGTGGCAGCCATGTCCTTACCCTTCCCTCTGAGATTTTCCGTAGCCGCTCTTCCTGCATTCCAGGTGTGTTACTGCTTTAGGGAGAGGTTCTAGAACCTCCGCTCTTCTCAGTGAGGGAAGGGCTTCGGCTCTTCTGTAAGGCGTTCCTGGCTTAGACTAGACCTTATTTCTCACTAGTCAACATGGCATTGGCCTGGAAAGCCACTTAAAGGTTGGAGCAGGAACTAGGAATTTAAGATTCCTGGGGTGTGATGACGTGACCAGTTCCCTGATGGAAGCTGAAAGGGATAGAGTCCTGTCTGCAGAGCACATGGGACACCCCAAGAGCAAGTGGCTGGAGAAATGACAAAATGCTCGGCACTTGGATTTCTGGCCAGAGACATGCCTCTTACTGTTCTCTAAAGAATCCAGGGTATGTGTGAGGGGGGTCTAACTAGCACTGGACGTTATCCTGGGTGGCCCCACAGAGGTCAGGGCAGGAGACGGGATAGACTCAGCTCCACAAGAAACACTCCCTCTGAAAGACATTTGTAGGGGATTTGTAGGCACTGTAGCAAGGATTTGAACGTTTGAGAGAAAAAAATATGAACCTGAGCTCTCCTGGCCGGGTTTTAGGATCCCTGAAGCAATCCCAACCCCATCCCTTCATCCTCAAGTAGTCTGAGAGACAAAAGAGCAAGACAGAGCTCCTAAAGTTGTGTATACTTTTTTCCCAAAATGTTCAGAAGGGGGCAGAAGTTCCTTTCTCACCAGCTCTGCGGAACAGAGCTGGGCAGCCCGTTTGGTTTGCCATCTCCTTTGGCCCAAACGGTAGAGAGGAAAGGGAGAGAGCAATAAACGAGTCCTCCTCAGAACCCAGGGCTCTAGGGGGCAGGCTAGCCGGGGGACTTGCCTTATGGCTCTGAGCAGTGGCTGCTTCAGGGACTCTGACTAACTGGACACATTTCTAAGCCCCGTCACCCCATCCTCTCTGTCAGACAGTAGACAAGTCCGTGGGCTCCTCGCTGGGAGTCTGTGGCAAGACAGTTATTCCTTCAGCAACTACTGATGGAACGTCTACTGTACACTAGACACTGGAGCTACAACAGGGACTGAATGGACCTTGCCTCTGTCCCCAAGAATCTTACAGCACAGTTTCTCCCTCCAGCTTCTGGTTTTGCAGCCTGGATGTGTCTGCCAGAAGCCGAATGGTGGTCACGGGAGACAATGTGGGGCACGTGATCCTGCTCAACATGGATGGCAGGGAGGTGCGTTCTCTGGAGCCCAGGTCCTCCCTTTCTCTCCCTAACCACCCCCCACCCCACCCTGGCCTCCCTGCACCCCACCTGAACCGAGCCCTTCTCTGCAGCTTTGGAATCTGAGAATGCACAAAAAGAAAGTGACCCACGTGGCCCTGAACCCATGCTGTGATTGGTTCCTGGCCACAGCCTCCGTAGACCAAACAGTGAAAATCTGGGACCTGCGCCAGGTTAGAGGGAAATCCAGCTTCCTCCACTCGCTGCCGCATAGCCATCCTGTCAATGCAGGTGTGATATACCAGACCTCATCCTTCCTGCAGACCCTGCCTGTCCAACCACTTCTGGGGTTTTCCCTCAATGTTTAGAAGCTGCTAGGTTAAACCTCTACCCTGAGAGCATCAGCCAAATGGATGTCTTGGAAACTTTCTGATTCTAGCTGCCTCCAACAGCTGCTAAGTTTCTAGAATTGTTTTTTTTTTTTTAAGATTTATTTTTTTTAGAGAGAGCACAAGCAGGGGTTGGGGCAAAGGGAGAGGGACACACGGACTTCCCGCTGAGCAAGGACGCTGAGATCACAACCTGAGCCGAAATCAAGAGTCGGCGGCCTAACCGACTGAGCCACCCAGGTGCCCCAAGTTTCTAGAATGTTTTTGTTCACAGTCCAGAGTCACCTCCTCCCTTCCACCCCTGCCTAGAGAGGAGTGGGAGAGAGGGGTGCCCCTGCAGGAGAAGGCCTGTGGCAGCCAGGATAACAAAGGCCTGGGGTTCCTTCAGCTCTGGGGCTTTTCACTTGCCAGCTTGTTTCAGTCCTGATGGAGCCCAGCTCCTGACTACTGACCAGAAGAGTGAGCTCCGGGTTTACTCGGCCTCCCAGTGGGACTGCCCCCCAAGCCTGATCCCACACCCTCACCGCCACTTCCAGCACCTGACGCCCATCAAGGTAAGTGATGGAGGCAGGGAGCTGTGATCACAGGGACGGGCCGGGTCTGCCCGAGGTAGGGAGAGGCCAGATCTGGAAATTCCTAATCCCAGATCTCATCCTGTCCCCACACAAAGCCATCTCTTCTCTCCTGGCACTCTCTGCAACTTCTGTCTCCCTTCTGCAGTCCCACTGGGCTGGGTTTTCTTGGCCTCCCATAAGCTCTTCCTGGTTCGTTGGGCCCAGCCCACCTCCCTGCTCTTCTGCCGTCACCTCGTTATCTGCATGTGCTGCTGGTCCCCCAGCTGACCTCAGCCCCCAAGACTGACAGTCTTTAAGTCTTCTGATTCCTTCCTGCACACGCCCCAAGCAGCCTCAACTCTGCCCGTTCCTCTGCTCTCCTGGTTTCTGTTCTTTTTCTAGCACTGCAGCCCCTCTCCAGACCGCCAGGTTTCATGCCTGTACTTCTTTCATCAACATAGCATAGTGGTGGGGGCACCAGCTTCAGGTAGGCCGACACCCCCGGTTAGAGTCCTTGGGTAAGCTGCTTGAATTTTGGATCTCGGTTTCCTCATCTCTAAAAAGTGAATAAGAGTATCTGACGGACAGGGTTGTGGGAAGAATCCGTATACTTAAAGCACTTGTCTAGTGTCTGGGAAGTACAATGTCAGCAGTGATCATTTAATATTAGAGTAGGTCCCGCATACCTCAAATCAAATACAGGCTCTTCAGAACAAAGGTTCTTCACATTGATCTATGTGTCATCTCCCACTTTGTATCCAGCCAGGACAATTTCCAGCTTCCCAGGTGGGACCTGTGACCTATTTCCAAGCCATGGCACATACCACTCTGTCCTTCCTGCTAACCATGTTTTTCCTCCTTCAACACTTCCTTGCAATTTCTTAGGAAAACCCCATCTGATTCTGTCATTCTGACCAACTGCCAGATTTGTTTTGGAACATAGGGGAACATAGGTTTCCTTCCTTTTCTTGGCCACTAGCCATTTTCTGCTCAACTCTTCATCATTCATGTTGATGGAGGAGGGACAGTAGTGGGATTACTTCAGAACTTATGTCCTACTTGGTCTTTGCTTGGTTGTAGGCTTTGCTTAATGTCTGGGTCAAGCTGATGTTAAAACATTTATCAGTTGGTATGATCTCAGGAAATACAAAAGAGAGAAAAGGCCTGAAGACGTCCCAAGGTCCAGAGACGCCAATTTGGGGTTAAAAATTTGGGATGGTAGAGGCACATGCACTTGAAAGCTGTTCCTGTAGTTTCATGTGGGTCTTATCTCCATTATTAAATTGCTGGCAATTGTATTAACAGTTGTGAGTGGCAAAGAATACTTTTGGTGTCCCTCTTGATAGTACTCATTTACTCTCATGACAACTCTCCATCTCCTAGGCAACCTGGCATCCTCGGTACAACCTCATTGTCGTGGGCCGATACCCAGATCCTAATTTCAAAAGCTGTACCCCCCATGAATTAAGGACGATCGATGTGTTTGATGGACACTCAGGGAAGATGATGTATCAGCTCTATGACCCAGAATCTTCTGGTATCATTTCGGTGAGGTTTGGGCCCTCAAATAATGAGGGGAGGAAGCAGGGCTTCAACCTACCTTAACTGACCAAAAATGACCAGAAATTAATCCTCATGTGCCCTTCTCCCAATACCTCACCTCCTCCTGATGCTTATGCCCTTGTCTCTGCAGCTCAATGAGTTCAATCCCATGGGGGACACGCTGGCCTCTGTGATGGGTGAGTGAAGCAGGTTGTATCTCAGATTGGCCAAGCCCTACCCTACTCCCCCCCAGGTTGAATGCAGGCTCCCCTCAGCTTAGCCCTGCCAGTCACCCCAGGGTAGGAGTCAGTAAAGGTTTACAGGAGACAGTGGACTCTTTGGCCTAGGCCCTCCAATGCCTCTTGCTTTGTCTTGGTCATGACAATGCCTGGCTGCTGTCTGGTTTCCTGGTATTTCCTGACCAAGTCCTGGGTTCCCTGGGCCAGCCCCAAGTTCTGAGAGACTGGTCTCACTCCTCCTAGGTTATCACATTCTCATTTGGAGCCAGGAGGAAGCTGGGATGCGGACATGAGAGACATTAATGAAGGTGCGGGCCAAGCCAGAGCTTGGAGCCGCCTGAGAACAAATCCTCTGAAAAGAGGCGGCTGTGTGTTAAAGGGCCAAAGGTATCCAAGTCTTAGGGTCAGAGCAGGGACACTGTGGGGCTGGGACACTAGCATGTTACTGCTCTGGACTTAGCTCCAGAAACTTCTCCAGGGTTGGTGCCCCAGGTGCCCCAAGGGTCCCTGCTATATCTAGCCTGGAGCCAAGCTTCTCCTGGAGCCAAGGTACTTTTCTATTCTTTGATGAGCAGTGACAGAGGGATCAGGTAGTGGTTTTTGGTTTGTGCTCACTATTGACTTGGCTAATAAAACCATACCCAACTGAGCTTCTGAGTGGATCTTCCAGCACTGACCTGGTCAAAGGGCTCCTTGGGGCCCCCAAAAGAAGAAAAAGCACAGAAACAGCACTAAGAGTCTAGAACGTTCCTTCTCTGGAAGCTGCCTTAGCCCTATTCTGGGCCACAGTCACAAGCTGTCCAGCTCACGACCTGCACTGGCCTCTGGTCCGTGGAGACCCCAGCCTAGCTGAGAGGGACAGTGGTGCTATGACTGTACCACAACTCCCCACCCCCCGCCCCCGCCCGCCCCGGTACAAACACCCTTCTAACCTGCTCCATCTGCAGCGTGACACACAGGCCTGAAGCAGTATGTCTGACTCTATGGCTTCAGGGGGGCAAAGGAAAACTTGCCTGGCTGGCCTCTGGGCGATCCGGTTCCTTAGTGGCCAGTGTCTGTACCTCCAATGTTGTGCAGTTTTTCCCACTAAAATAAGCACTGAGAGGCAAGACTGTGTCCTCTGAACTATTTGCCAAAAACTCTGGGCTGAAGAGAGAGCAGGGCTTGATCAAGCACTAACTCCTTCAGTTTTTCAGGTCCTGAGTGAAACTTGAATACTTGTCTACACTTCTGGTCCTTAGTAAGCGTGGTGGAGGCCAATCGTGTCTGGAGGAAGCCAAAGTCCAACACAGTACTTGGTGAACAGGGAGGCACGCGAATGCTGAGTGACAGGTGCCATGGGCCAAGCCGAGTCCCACTTGTTCATCTAGGTTGGGGTCATCGGAGGGAGGCCATCCCAGGGTCTCCTGTCCATGGGCTGGGGAGCAGCAACAGTCAGGAGCAAGGGCCCAGCCCACCTCCCCTAGGAGGCTGAGGGAAGGGGGCTGAGTGGTTGTCAGGCATGATCTTCCCCGTCTGCAACATGGCGGTAGCCAGGAGGCTGGGCCTGCATCCGGAAGAGGACGGTGAGGAGCAGCACTATGAGGAGGAAGAGGATGGAGCCACACACAGCCAGGGCCACAATCACCTCTGCGCGGCGGGGAGGGAGAAAAACGGCATCTCAGTGTTCACCCGGCAAATAGCTATCTACCGTATGCCAGGTGCTCTTACAATGGAGACATACACGGGTTAGTGACAAACGCAAATGCTATAAAGAGAAACAAAGCAGGGCCGCCTGGGTGGCTCAGATGGTTAAGCCTCTACCTTCAGCTCAGGTCATGATCCCAGGGTCCTGGGATCGAGCCCCGCATCGGGCTCCCTGCTCGGTGGGAAGCCTGTTTCTCCCTCTCCCACTCCCCCTGCTTGTGTTCCCTCTCTCGCCTTCTCTTTCTCTGTCAAAAAATAAATAAAAAATCTTAAAAAACAAAAACAAAAAACAAAGCAAAGCAAAGAGAAAAGGATGGAAAGGGAGGTCAGTCAGGGAAAGGATCACCTTTCAAAATGTCAAAATGACATTTTGACCAGAGACCTGGAGTCACTGAGACACCTGGACCTGAGAGAACAGGGTCTTGGGGCAAGGGCGGAGGGGGTGGGTAGACAGGAAGCAAGTACAAATGGCCCTGATGTGGGAGTAAGTCTGGCATATTCTAGGATCAGCTATGAAATCAGTATCCCTGTAGCAGAGTAAGTGAGGAGCAAAGAGATCAGAGCAGAGGATCAGACAAGAAACACCTGGAAAGCCATGGGGAAGAACTTGGATTTTGTTCTCACTGTCATGGGAAGCCACTGGAAGATTCTGAGAAGGGTAGTGATGTGAACTGATTTTTATACATATATATATTAAAATTTTCATTTATTTGACAGAAAGAGAGAGAGGAGAGAGGTAGGTGGAGGAAGAGGGAGAAGCAGACTCCCTACTGAGCAGAGAGCCCGATGTGGGGCTCAATCCCAGGACCCTGGGATCATGACCTGAGCTGAAGGCAGACGCTTAACTGACTGAGCCACCCAGGCACCCCAAGAGGATGTATTTTATTTTTTTTTTAAGATTTTATTTATTTATTTGAGAGAGAGAATGAGATAGAGAGAGAGAGCATGAGAGGGGGTGGGGTCAGAGGGAGAAGCAGACTCCCCACTGAGCAGGGAGCCTGACGCGGGACTCGATCCCAGGACTCCAGGATCATGACCTGAGCCGAAGGCAGTCGCTTAACCAACTGAGCCACCCAGGCGCCCCAAGAAGATGTATTTTAAAGGTCAAGCTGATAGGACCTGCTAGTGGACTGCATATGGGGTCTGAGAAAGATTGTATTCAAGAGGACTCAGGGTCACACAAAGATCTCAAGTTAGCAACTGAATATGTGAGTCTGTAGCTCAGAAAAAACGTCATGAATCTGAGTCATAAAAGGATAGAACTTTGCATGGAGGTAGTATGTGAAGCCACGAGGTTGGTTGGGATTGCCCTGGGAGTGGGCACAGATGGGGAAGGGCCAGGATGAGACCTGGGCCGTCCATTGTTTAGTGGGGAGAAAAAAACCAGTAAGGAAGCTAACTGTAAGTCAGAAGAGAAACCAAGAAAGTGTCTAAAGAAGGAAGAGTTTATTATATCATGCCCCTAAGAGATGAGAGAAGCTAAGAATTGGTCAGGCTTTGACAAGAGGCAGCCACTGGTCCTTTACGAAAGTGGCTTCACTGGAGAACGTGACGCAAGGCTGTCTAGCATGAGCCTGACAGAACGGGCACTGAACAAGCAAAACCAGAGTCTAGGCAAAGGATTCCACTTTCACAGGGAACAGGGACAGAGTGGTGGCTGGAGGAAGATGGGGCCCTGAGAGGTCTTCCTTACACTTTCAAGATGGGACTGACCCAGTAAACAGGAAACACTGGGGCCCCCCAAGTCCCTGTGGAAGTGAGAAGAGATGGACCCGGAGCGTCCGTGGAGAGCTTGGCCTTAGGTAGTGGCTCACACCAGCAAGCGAGCTGGAAGATCTGCTGGTGGGAGGATGAGCCCCTGCTCTCCTGGACAGCACTGTTTTCTCAGGGATATGAGAAGGGAGGCCATCGCCTGAGAATGAGGAGGAGGGAGAACGTGAGGGGTGGTCTCAGGGTGGGGAAGTGAACCGTCTGGGGAAATGAGTGAGGGGGTTAGAGATGCAGCCGCTCTCTGGAGACCCGTGGGTAGGAACTGCAAGTTGTTCTGGGATGTTCCTCACAGAGGCAGGCAGCAGCTCACCTGTGTCCGCAGGGCCGCTCGCCAACTGGCACTCCTGCTGCCAGTCCTTGGGCACAACGGGCTCTGTGAGGTGAAGAAAGTCCTGCAGTGGGCAGCGGTGAGCACAGCCGGGCAGGACCAGGGGCCAGGGAGCCTTGTTACTCTCATTCCGAAAGTACATCTCCACTGAGAAATTCCTGAGGGTTGACAGGAGATGAGACGGAAGCTGCTCCGCAGGCCTGTAACTGAGCCCTTGGGCTGCCCACAGCCACCACATGAGGGTCCCTCCAGAGGGCAGACCCGTGGCTACACTCACCCATTATCTTCCTGGTACAGTTCAAATATGTGGCAGGAGGCATAGGGGGCCTGTTCCCCATTGTAGATGTCCAGTGCCATCTGCAGAGCGACTAGGGTGGTATCGTGCTGTAAGAGAGGGGAGTTCCCCGTCAGCATTGCGTACCCCCCCCCAGCCCCCACACCCAGGCGCTGGAGAGAGAGGAAATCCAGCTCCCTGCTTGACGTCGGCACACTGGGGACTACGGGAGCTTACCGCAGAGTAAACCAGCAGCTTAGGGAGCTGGGAGGAGGTAGCCATCAGGGTGAGGTTCTTCCGTATCTGAGCCAGCAGGACTCCTGAAGGAGAAGAGTCCCCAGGGTCAGTGGTGCCAGCTATCCCCCGGTCTCTGACCAGACCTATCTGTGGCCCTTCACCCTGTGCTAGTGCTGGGTCTGATCACCTGCACAGGGAACTCTTCTTGGGGGCATGGGAACCACGCAGGAAGCTCTCCAGCACCCCGTTCTCTAAGATCGTTCACATTTACAGAGGGAAGCAAGATAAAATGAGATATCCGTATTTCAACAAAGATCTAGAGACCTGCCCATTTATAAACGAGCTGTAAGGCCCTGCCCGTAACTGAACAATTACTCCAGTCTGGAACAAATAAAAACTTCAGGTTGCTTCAGAACACACAAGATGGCGGCTGCGAATGGGAGCCCTGCCACATGCAGGCTCGGGAAGGTGTGACAACCGGCCCTCCCTTGGGTGCTCGGATCAAGAAACTGGCATCTGTATTACTCTCAGCTTTCCTGTAAAGTGGCCCCTGGTGGCTCTCTGGAGGTAGGTATTCATTTAAGGAGACAGAGGGTCTTCTGACATGGGTGACGCTTAAGAATATGAATGGTAGAAAAGAAGCACACAAACTTGACAGTGGTCATTCTACAGTGACAGAGCTAAGCATTTGGAGCACTGGGGAGACCTCAGTGGCTAACGGGGGAGGTCTGGTTTTGAAGAGGCAGAGAGTACCACAGCTGGAGAAGTAAGTGTGTGAGAAGATTTTTAATGCTGCAGGGTCCTGAGGAGGGGAGTGACTCGCTGCTCTTGTCACTCACCCCCCTGAAGCCGGGCCTTCTCCGCCTGCTCGTAGATCCCGAAGAGGAAGCGGAAGCTGAAGTCCTTTAGCTGGCTCAGACGCTGCATGGTTCGGGGTGAGGCCCAGGGTGGCAGGACCAGCCCGTGTGTTTGCTGTGTATCGCAGCAGGTAGGTTAGCTCCCCAGGCCTAGGCCAGAGCCTCTCCAGGGACAGCTCTCCTCCCCAGCGGGAAGGTGCCTGTGTGTGTGTCAGGAAGGGAGAGGAGACCTGAGGCTGAGGGACTGGAACCAGAAGACATGGCAGACAGGACACAGGAAAGGAAGCTCAGGCACGAAAAGTGTGACTCAGCAGAATGGAGTTGGATACCACGAGAGTTCTGGGCGGAGAGGGGCAAGAACTGCTGACATGTAATAAACCATTTCCCACTCTGAGGTTCTTTTTCACCCGTGAGGGAAATTCCTTTGTTTCACAAGAAGCGGCTTGCCTGGACCTCCCCAGTGGGAGTGGTATCCAGGCACTGTATGCTACTTGTCCAGCTCACCCGGGCCTGTGGAGGTGTGAGAGAAGAAAGGCCATACCAGGGACCCTAAGTGGGCTCACCTCACAGAAGAGTGTGTCATAGACATTCCAGACAGTCTCCAGTGTCACGTCTGTAAGCCCTGTCTCGTTGGCCACCATATCCAGAAATTGCTATGAAAAATGGATCAAGGGGGTTAGTACCGCCCTGGCGGAAAGGACCAGTGTGCTGACCTCCACCTCAGCCCCACTCACTGCATTCTGAATACTCTCATTCTGATACTCTGGTGTCTGTCGGGTCTCGTTCTGCAGCTGCTCGTAACGGGGACATGGGCCCAACGGGAACTTCAGCAGCTGCAGACCAAAGTGGGGAAACAGAGGCAGAGAAGGAGTTGGGGATCGACATGCTCATGGCCAGAGTCATCCCTCTCACCGCCTCCAGGGAAGGGCTGGCCAGTCTTACCCTATCCTCAGCGATGGGCACAGTGTGGACAGGGATAGGTTGCCAAGAGATATTTGGGTTGAAACGCTGCATCCCGCTGGGAGGGAAGAGTCCAGCCAGGTTGGCCTCAGCACTCATGAGAGTACGGTCAAAGTCTGTGCTTCGCACATAAACCTGCAGAGGACAATACCAGTCTCACCTGTGGGGGTGGGGTGGGCGAGCTTTGGCCCCTCGGTGGGGCCGTAGCAGAAGAACCTGTTCTTGATGGTTACCCAGCAAACTGTGGCCCTCTCCCCTTCTCTGACCTTCCTTGTCCCTCTTCTCAGCAAAGGCCCAAACACTCAGCTAGGGGCTAGCTGTCACCACTCTGTGAAGAACTCCTGTGGGAATGGCTCTAGTTCAAATGCCTTCCCAGTCCCAAGTGCTTAGTCACTAAGGTTGTCAGTTCTGTCTCTGTCTGGTTTTCTAACAACGCCTATCTCCCTATCAACATCAGGGTCCTTGAGGGCAGAAACTGTCTCCAACCACACATACCCCTTTATGAAGTGGCTTAGAGATCAGGCAGAGGAAAGAAGGAACAGAGATAATTGCTTGTGCAAAGGGAGGAGGAAGCAGTGGGGCAGGGCAAGACCAGGATAGAGCTGGACCTCAAGGGAACAATAACATCGAGAGACTCTTGAGATGCCTGTGGCCCACAGTGGTAACCAGAGGAACAGTGATCCCATCCTTGGGTAGAGGGCCTCAAGGAGCTGCAACACTTGCCAATCTTCCCTGACACGCCTTCTCTACATGTGAGCCCTGGGCGTTTTATCATCTGTCACCCCCACTACATTCTAAGCTCCACAAAGACAGAGACCATATCTGTGTGGTGCGCCATTACATGCAAATGCTAGCACAGCACTTTGCCCTTAGTAGGTAATCAATAAGCGTCTTGGATGGAAAATCCAGGTTATTTCAAAGAATCAGAAAAGACTTTGCCAGGCCCTTAAGTCTGAGCTTGGATGCTTGATCTGTTTTGCCCTTTCCAAGTCAAGGAGGGGCAACTTGGTCTCTAGAACTGCTCTACACAGCTCTTGGATGTCTCGTCCTGTAGGTATAACCAAAAAAGCATGGAAGGAGGCCTGAGTGCCCCAGGCTCCCTGAGGGCAGAGGGTGAGAACAGCAGGTTCCATTTCCCTTGTCTCTTGAGCTCCCAGCCTTACCTCTTGCCGGTGGTAAGAGGTGTTGAGAAAGCCGTGGTAGCGCTGCCGCAGAGCCTGGCCCAGCTCCCAGTGCTGTTGCATCCCCTCCTGTGGGCAAACCCAAGAGTTAACAGGGAAGGGACAGCTTGCAAGTCCCACAGGGCTTAGGCACTATTGCTTTCCAAATTTACCCTGGCTGGAAGTAGGAGTGGGTTAATCTGATCAGAGAAGTCATTTATTAAGTGGCCCATTGTGTATGGCACCTGTCCTGGGCACAGAGAAAAGTAAGGTTAAGAAATCTGATCAAAGTCAGCACCTACATGGGAAATGACAGTTTGGTGGGTTTGGTTCTGTACAGGTTCTCGAGGTCACTACAGTTTGGTTCTGTAGCCTGCTCTCGAGGTCACTCATTCTACAGCACCCCCGGAGTGGGGGCTGGCTTCCCACCCACCTTAGTTAGCTGACCAAACCCCTGAGGCCACTCGTCTTCCTGATAGGGGTCCTTGGGATACGTCTTCACTGGCGAACGGTCTCCATGTCGGTACAGCTGAGGAAAAGAAAATGGTATGCCTACAGGTCAGAGGGTTCCTCGATGGGGACACAGAGCCCCCTGTTGGGGAGGGAAGCCCTACTCCCGTGAAGTCTTAACTCTGCCCACTGCAAAAGACCCCCAACTCGGAAGTCAGTAACTTTGAACAGGTTCCAGAGATTCTAATTTGGCCAACCAACGCCACTGGAGACCATAGACGAAGCCAAAGATACAGGTGGGAAAGAAAAAGAGAAAGGAAAGCAATGCAGGTGATGGGGGAAATAGAGGGAAAATCACCAAAGGCTTAAGGGTGAAGGGTGCGTCTCTTGACCGTTCGTTCTGTAACAGCCCTGTCCCAGGACAGACTCACCCGACCTATGCCCTGATATAGAACTACTTACACCCTGCCTGCTCCCCGAAAATAACTCGGGCTCCACACCAATTCCGAACCGGACCCCCACCCTCCAGGCCAGTCGTCTCCTCCTAAACCGGCTCCTGCTCCTTGAAAGACCCCGACCCCAGCACAAGCCCCGCCCCTCCCTCCAACAGCGGGCCTGTGCCCTTCCAGCTCTGGCGAGCCCTTGGGCCACCGCATCTCTCATTACCAACGTAACGAAGCGCAGACTCCGGGCCTGGGTGGAGGGCATCACTATCAGGTTCACGCCAAGAAGGAGCTGGAGAAGAGACGCCCCGCTCCACGCAAACTGTCTACCCGCCATCACCGCTAGAGACTATGCTGCAAAAAGGCTGGAACCCGGTGCGTGGCACCTCTAGCTGCCGCCCGGACGCACCCGTAAGGACACACGCCGGAAGTGCCTTCGCCGCCATCTTGCTAAAGGAGGGGCAGAGATGGTGGGAGAAGGAGGAATTTGGGAGGGAATGCGTGTAGGGGGCTCGCGATGCGGCCGCGGCGGAGGAGCGTGGGAGTGTAGCGCAACCTCGCGCGGCAGAAGATGCTGAAGACCTCGTCATGGTAAAGAGAACCCCGAATTCGGCTTGGCCTCTGCCACGGAGATCCAGTAACAAGGTGGCGCCGGCTGTGGGCCGGACATTGGATGGGAGAGCGAGCGCCCCCTCGGGCCGGGGTGCCGCCGGGCCTGCGCTCAGAGCCAGAGCCGCTGCCGAATTGAGGCGAGGGTTGGGAAGTGTAGGGCGCCCTACTGCCTTCTGGTGGAATTTGAGCCTTGGCCCTGGCTCTGTTCCCCGGGGGAGGGCCCGTTTGGTGTGGGGCACAGCGTGTCAACAGTTCTTTGGACTCCCCGAGCTCTTGAGGTTAGTCCCAGTGTAGCCTACAGCTCGAGCCTTCGAACAGAGCTCCAGGAGACCTCTCACTTTCCCTTCCAGTCCTTTCCCTGCCCTCCCATCCTTCCACTTCCGAGTTTTGGATGTCTTGCAAGGTGTCATGCTTCCTCCGAAACGAGTGGGTTACACCGTATGTTCAGACTTTGCGAAACCAAAGCAGTGAATCCACAGGGGAGGAATTTCAGACCAGTGGGGAGATCTATAGGGATAAGGGGAAGGAACATATCATAAAGTGGGAGCAAGTGGAGTTTCCACAGAATCAGAGGCCCTCTAGGCATTGGCCATTAGGATCCAGGTGCAGCCAATTTAGCTTCATGACTTTGTGACTGAGCTTGGTGTGACTCAGAGCTCCAGGATCACAGGCCCTTGGGATGCTTCGATTCAGATCTGCCCCCTGGAAGTAAAATCACTTCAGATGGTTGGAGAAATAAAACCTGATTAGAACTATATGGGAGAGGGCGCCTGGGTGGCTCAGTTGGTTAAGCGACTGCCTTCGGCTCAGGTCATGATCCTGGAGTCCCGGGATCTAGTCCCGCATCGGGCTCCCTGCTCAGCAGAGAGTCTGCTTCTCCCTCTGACCTTACCCCCTCTCATGTACTCTCTCTCTTTCTCTCTCTCAAATAAATAAATAAAATCTTAAAAAAAAAAACTGTATGGGAGAAAGCATGGTCATAATTTTGCCCTAGGACTTCGGATCCAATTATTTATATATACCTTACAGAGTTGTAATGGAGGAGTGAATAGAAATTGAGAGCTGAAGAATGGGTAGTCAAATAGTTCTTAATCTTCTTACTTAGTCACAAGGGTCTTTATGAATCAGATGAAAGTTTACTCCCCTGTCTTCCGGAAAAATGTCCACACACACAAATGGAATTTTGCACATAATCTCAAGAGGTTCATGAAGACTGTCAGTAGTTTTCATAAGTCAGCATCTCTGAATCCCCATTCTTACCTAGTCCCCTTACTTTAAAGGATAAGGAAACAAAGCCAGAGAGGAACTTGTCCAAGGTCACAGAGTTTAGGAGAAGGGATTAAAATTCAAGTTTTCTGATTCCCAATTAGTCTTTATAATGGGCTACTTCTTGCAGGCTACTCAAACTGCATTGCTAAACCGTACTGGGTGGCCCCCAAATACTTTCAATAGAGATTCTGACAAAGGAAACCTTTTCACATTGGTGGGGTTGAATGGGGCACAGCTAACAGGCAGAATTCTGCATATTAGTGGGAATTCTTGAATGTTTCTTTTAATATATCCCTTACTCTTCTTGCACTGTAGCCAGACCTTTGTGATTTCAGAATGTAAATCTTGGGTTCATTAAATTTTGGCGAGTAGAACAAATTCATCTTTTGCTTTTCTTCCCACTTGCTAAAGTATGTCAGTATCCTTTGTGCCTGCAAGTATCCTATGTAGGAGGGATTGATGGAGCAGATATTATTTCATTTCTGTAGGGAGAAACAAATCCAGGAACAGTGAAGATTATACCACAAACATGGTAGAACCAAGAGCTAAGCCCTGGTTTCTTGACCCCCAACTTCTACATATTTTTTACCAGATGATTCCGTGGTCTGCATACCTTGGTTCCTAACTACAGAATCAAAAAACTAGGCATATAAATAGATAGTTAGATAGATAGATACAGGGGCCTACCCCAGACCAAATAAATCAGAATCTCTGAAAATGAGGCCAGGTTTGGAAACCACTGTTCCACCTTGTGTTGTCAGAAGCAAACCTAAATCCAGGTGAGTTACCCATTTTTTCCATCTAGGGAGGCAGTTTTGTGTGATGGAGTGAGGTATTTTTTTTGTTTGTTTGATTTTTGGGTCAGTTATACCTGTATTCAAATTTGGTATTTGCCCACTTGCTAGTAACTATCTCCTAGGGTTATATATGAGGATAAATAAAATAACACATGCAAAGATAAATATATGTAGTAATAAAAGTTACTTTTCTCCTTTTTGTCTGGTATATCATCTCTGAACTCATAGGCCTGGGAAGCAGAAATTCCTGGGTTCTTCTCTATCTTGTGATTGGAGGTTGGGCAGAAGTTGTTTGAGTGCCCTGCAAGATGACCCCCACACTCTGCATTTTTCCAGAATGGTGAAGGAGGGAGCAAGCACCAGTTTCCCCAGTTTGTCCCTCCAGACCGTACCTTGTGGCCTGCTTCATGGGATTTCAAGTACTTTCAGGGGAATTATCAAGTTGTACATATGATTGGGAACTGGTGAATGCTCCTCTGTTTTTGCTTCAAGATTCCCCTTGCTTCAAGTAAAAGCCTCTGGAGGTTCTAGGGGTCACAAATGTGACCTGGAAGATCCCAAAAGGTTCTAGGATCCCCTAGGAGCCAAAGAAACCTCGGAAAGGCCCTATGGCACTGGGAGGCTTTGCACCTAACACCTGTGGGCTGGTGGGACCATTCTGTGGGGGTGGGTCTGGCAAAATGAGACGTGACCCCAGCTGCTGATCATCTGACTACTTGCTCTGGTTTGGGAGAGAAGTCCCAGTGGTTGGCCTGCAGAAACTCTGTAGAGATAGTGCCAACAGGCTTTGGTCTTCTCCCGTTTTCCTCTCTTTTCCCTTTTCATGGTGGGGGAAGCTCCTGAACCCCTATAACCTGAAGGGGTAGCTCTGGCAGTAAAGCACAGCCAGTGCTTCCTCCTTCTCTACTTGAGATAAAGTGAACTGACTCCCTGGCTTGGAGAGGATGGTGCCCTGACCTGTTTGTTGAACAACTGGTGCTAGCCTGGGTCAAGAGGGCTCCCGATGGGGCTCGTGTGTGCTCGTGGGTCCTGGGCTACAGGGAGACTAAGATGTCAGGAGAGGGAGCTGAGGATGTAGGATGTAGCTGAGGAGTAGATGAGAGAGGTGTTTTCCAGCTCCCAGAAGATAGGTCATCAAGCCCCAGACCAAGTTACAGCCCTCGTTCCTTGTAACCAGGTGTTGCGATGACATCTCTGGCTGTACTTCAGGGGGGTGGGAAAAGGTGGAGGAGGGAACTGGATGGATGGTGTAGGTGCTGGGACAGGGTGGTTGCAGTTTCCCAGGGGTTGGAGTCCCTGGTGTCTACTTTCCCAGGACAGCTGGGGCCTTGTGAAAATCAGGAAAGGAACACATGCAAGAGGAATGGAGAGCCTTGTGCTTGTGACTCAGAGATGCTCAGACAAGGGTGGTGGCCTTATGAGGGGATGACCTTGTGATAAGAGGGAACAAGAGCTAAAACTGGAGGCAGAACTTTGAGATGGGGGTGGGTGTCAGAGGGGCTTTTCTGAAATGTGAAAGTGAATACATGGGCAGATTTTGCAACACCACGCAGCCTGCTGTCTTCTCAAGTCTCTGCTCTCCAACCCCCGCCTGTTCCCCCGCCCCACCCTGTGCTTCCTCCCATCTCTCACCAAGCTCCTCCGTTTCTGCTTTCCCTGTCCTTCTCCCACCCTGTTCCTCCACACCCTCTGTCCACTCTTTCCCTTTTCCCTCTCTTCCCTGGTGCCCTGTTCATCTGATTCAATCCCCCTGGCTGCCTGCCCTGGCCCTCTGTCCTTCTGTCCTTTAATGTGGGGCCCATGGGAACTGGAGTTCACAGCAAAACAGGAAGAGCCTGGGAGCAGGAAACTGGGAGCAGGGCAGGGGGTGAACAACCAGCAGTAACCTCAGCTCCTCGCCTCCCACATCTGGACTGAAGCATCCCAGGGTGCTCTGTCTCTCCCACTGCAGCCCACCAGCCCTAGCTTCTCCCATCTTAGTGCTTCACTGGTCCCCCAGACCTGAGAGGCAACCAGACGAGTATTCCTGGACTCGGACACAGGAGAAAGAGCAAGCACAGGGACTAGAGTGAGGACATCTGGATTCTGATCCCAGCTTGGTCACTGTGTGTGGTCTTGGAAAGGGCCCTCCCATAGCTCAGTGCTCTCTGTGAAATGGTGCTCCTCTTATTTACCCTCCCTCCTTCTTGGGGCTGCTTTAAGGACCAAAAGAGATAGTGAGGGGTTTGTATATGGAAACAAGCACTGGAAGGTTAACAGTGTACAGATTCGAGGTGATGGGAAGACCTGTAGATGAAAGGATTGAGAGAGGAATGATAACTGCTACCACTTCTTCAACACTTACTATGTGCCACACATTGAGCTATGTAATACGTGGTTTACTTCTCATGACAACCTTATGTGGCAAAAACCATTATTAATATCATCCCTATTTTAAAGGTAGGGAAACAGGTTCAGAGACATTATGTAACTCATTTAATCAAGATCACAGTTACTAAGAGGCAGAGGCAAAGCCAGGCCCAGAGCTTGGGTGCTAAATCAACATGATGGAATTAAATGAACTAGAGTTAACAGCTGTAGAGGAGGATCATATTATTTTTCTTGTTCACCTATTCATTTAACAGACAGGAACATAGTACCTACACTGTTGCCTGCTCTGTGCTAGGCCTTGTTCCATGGGCAATAAAATCAACAAAACATGGTGTCTCCCTTCAGGGGTGGATCTCACGTTCCAGGGGACAGGGCAGGACGGCTATGGCTATAGTCTCGGTAGATGCCGGATAGAACCTACCATCACTTCAGATGGAACGGTTCCCAGATGTGAGAACCTGCATACCTTCCCAGGTCCATCCTGGGCTGGCACCTGGGTCACCTGCCATCTCCGCCCCTACCCCCATCCCAGGCCTGCCATTGCTCCCATCTCGGTGGCCCCCTGCAGGGTACCGTCACTCAGAGACTCCCTGGAAGGATAAGCACCTGCCTCTCTACCCCTGGAGTTATACTAGTTTGGCTGAGGGCTGGGGCTAGTGGGGGGAGCTTTTTGGCCCCTTCCCAGAGGCAGGGGAGGAGGAGGGAGGCTGGGAAAGCAGGCTGGGGCTCAGTGTCGCAATTCCAGGCAGTGCCGGGACCTTTGCTCTACGAGGTGTCTATGGAGCGGAGGGAACACCGACTCTGGAGGCTGCCAGGATTGGGGTAGGGGTGCCGGGGAGGCAGTCTTTCTATAAGAGCAGTTAAGAGCTACCGGGGTGAGGAGAGGAAGGGGAGAGACTTGAAACTGGGCTGGTCTACAGGGAAATGCGACTATCATGGTTGGGGGGGGGGGTGGCGGTAGGGGTGAGGCTGGGCTGAGGGGGCGGGCAGGCGGGCTGGGGAGGAGTCAACATGGTGGGGAAGCTGCCCTGTGGGTGTGGGGGACGGCGGCCAGGGCTCTGGTCAGTTGTCTCCACTCTGCCGAGCAGGAAGGAGAAGTGGCCCGACCCCTTGGCAGTCCCTCCCCGCAGCCTTTCCCCACATTACTTCCCTGGGGCTCCGGTCCCTCACTTGCTCAACTCCAGCTCGGCTCCGCCAGCGTGAGGCCTCCCGACGGGATTGCACCGTCCTCCCTTCCCAGCAAGGGGGCTCCAGAGACTGCCCCAGCCAGGCAGTCTGGTGGCCTGGGGGATTCGGTGGGTCTGCTCCTCAGCACTGGCCTGGGGCTCTGTGTGTGAGTCTGGGATTGGGGGGGTACCCTGTAGATCTTAGAAAAGGGGTCTCTGGGGAGAAGTGAAGGATGATGGTGATGGCAGCCCAGGTAGCAACAGGATTCTGTTTAGGTCCCAGAATAATTCCTGAGGGGTTCTGGGGGAGGGGGTCCTGGCTGTCAAATGGAGCGACTCCTGGAGGCAGGAGGTTTGTTCTGGGTCCCTGGAAAGTGACAGCAGTGAAGTTACCTAACAAAAAGTCTTACTGGGTGAGTGAGCCTCGATCCCCTGCCCTAGTCCTGGCCAACTTTGGCTGTCCCCAGTGCTGGAGGCGGGGAGAAGGGGCTCTGACAGAAGCTGGGCATATGTGCCCAAACACTGTGTGATGGCCTGGAGGGATCCCCTGGGGGAGAAAAGGTGGCAAGGTGGCCACCTTAGCCAACAGCTAAGACTTTGGTCTCAGAGAGACCAGAGTTGGAATCTTGGCTCTATCATTGCCTGTGTGGCTATAGGCAATTCACTTAATCTCTTTGAACCTCAGTTTCCTCATCTATAAAATGGGCTTAAGAATAGTCATGACATCATAGGCATATCAAGAGGAAGGCAGATAAAGCCTTAGCACAGGCTGGTATATACGTATACAGCAAGTAAATGTTAGCGGGTATGTTAGTACTCGTATGATCAGGAGGAGAAGGTTGCTGAGGCCAGAAAGGAGCCCAGTTCTGAAGACTGTAACATGGGTCATTCCCGCAGGACAGCCCCCTTGGTAATGTCCAGGGCTCCGGGAAGAGATGTCCTTGTGGCTGGAGGCCCCTGTGCCTGATGCTTCTCCTGGTAAGCTTCTTCACTCCAGCCCTCTCCTCTGCGCTCAGGTCCCAGCTCCTCTCCTCCCTCAGGAATCAGCCTCCTTCACTACTTGCCTTCTGCCGTGCCCCGGAGAGCAGTCCAGAGTCGTTTTCGGTATTGCTTGCCTCCTTCTGCCAAGACTACCTCCATGCTGGGTCTGGTGCTGGTCCTTCTCAATGTGGGCTTGCTGCTGGGGAGAGTTGGCTTGTCTAGTGCTTACCAGCACTGGCTTTGAAGAGTTCTGTCTGACCTCTGAAGTGGATACACGTCAGCCCCTCAAGGGGACAGAGGTTAACATCCTCATGTAAGGTATTGAGGTGCAGGGGACTGCAAGTGACTAGCCCTAGAGCCCACACAAACTGCAGGGTCCCGAAGCCCACACAAACTCCAGGGTCCTGCTGCCCTCTAGGGGTAGAGATAAATTTGCAGTTTCCCAGAAGGACGCTGAGGGAGTGGATGGGAGAGACCTGAGACCCCCTTGTGCCTCTCTTTCGGGGCTCAGACTCTGCAGTGGAGCTGTGGGAGCCAAATGCACAAGATGCCGGCAGCCAGGCGCTGGGAGGCAACACTGGCGTCCTCAGGGAGGAAGCCAGCACTCCCCAATCTGCTGGGGGCTCTCTGGGGGCAGGGCTGGAGGCAGCAGAGCCCACAGTCCTGCTCCCTGGGGTGGATACCCCTCCAGAGTCTACAGGTGAGGAGCTGTTGGATTTGGAACAGGTAGGGGTCCCCTGGATCTGGGAGGGGTACCTTAGGGCTGTTAAGTCCAAAGGCTTTGGATTCTACTAGATTTGAGTGATCTGAGTGAGAAATGTCTCTGCCTTGGATCTTTCTGAGCCTCAGTTTCCTTATCTGTAAAATGGAAATAATAACAGTACCTATCTGTTACAGTTGTGAGGATCAATGCATGTAAAGGGCTCAGGCAGTACCTAGGACGGAATAGCACTTGGCACATGAGAGCTACTTTCTCATAACAGACTAGACAGCATACAGTGAAGGTGATGAAGGTCACTGAGAACTCAGGGCAGTGGCCAACTGGGCACCATGCTTTCTCCTTGGAGAAGAACATGAAGGCTCTCCCCTATATCCAGAGCTGCGTCCACAAAAGCGGAAAAAGGGGCCAGCCCCCAAAATGCTGGGGAACGAGCTGTGCAGTGTGTGTGGGGACAAGGCCTCCGGTTTCCACTACAACGTGCTGAGCTGTGAGGGCTGCAAGGGCTTCTTCCGCCGCAGCGTTATCAAAGGGGCGCGCTATGTCTGCCACAGCGGGGGCCACTGCCCCATGGACACCTACATGCGCCGCAAGTGTCAGGAGTGTCGTCTTCGAAAATGCCGCCAGGCCGGCATGCGGGAGGAGTGTGAGTGTCTGGGGACAGGAGTGGGGGGAAGAGGCTGGTGGGAAAGGGGCGCTGGGGTGTGAGAGCAGACAGGCAGCTGAGCCTACAGGGTCTTCCTGCATGGTCCCCAAGTATGGGTTAAAATCTCTTCCTTGACTCTACCCGATGCTCTCTGCTTTTCTAGAGCCTCAAACTACCCCCTGCCCCATCCTTGCTTCTTGTCTCCCCCGCTTCTCCCGTCTGCATGTCCAACCCTGTCCTTAGGTGTCTTGTCCGAAGAGCAGATCCGCCTGAAGAAACTGAAGCGGCAAGAGGAGGAACAGGCTCAGGCCACGTCCATGACCCCAAGGGTGTCCTCACCTCCCCAAGTCCTGCCCCAGCTCAGCCCCGAGCAGCAAGGCATGATTGAGAAGCTGGTGGCCGCCCAGCAACAGTGCAACCAACGCTCTTTCTCTGACCGGCTTCGAGTCACGGTAACCGAGGGAACTGGAGCGAGGTGGCTGCGCCCAGAGCGCCCAGCGACTTCTGGATAGCTGACTCATTGTTGGTCATTTTTTCCGCCCTTGCCCTGCTGCGTAGCCTTGGCCCATGGCACCCGATCCCCAGAGCCGGGAGGCCCGGCAGCAGCGCTTTGCCCACTTCACCGAGCTAGCCATCGTCTCCGTGCAGGAGATCGTTGATTTTGCCAAACAGCTGCCTGGCTTCCTGCAGCTCAGCCGGGAGGACCAGATTGCCCTGCTGAAAACCTCTGCGATCGAGGTGGCTGGCAAGGCCGAGGGGTGACGGGAGCACCCGGGTGGGACTGTCTCTGGCAGGGGCTTCCAGGCAGCCAGGTGGGGAGCCAAGGTGCCCCATGCCAAGACCAGCCTTCTGAGTCCCTGTTTGAGGTCTGCTCCTTGTGTGCAGGTGATGCTTCTGGAGACATCTCGGAGGTACAACCCCGGGAGTGAGAGTATCACCTTCCTCAAGGATTTCAGTTATAACCGGGAAGACTTTGCCAAAGCAGGTAAGAACTGAGATCAAAAAAGGATCAGGTTGGATGGAAAGACACTTTTCGTCATCGGGCTCATAGTGACTACAGAGACACAGGCCCAGGGTTCGGATGGCTGTATGGGGAAGGCTACACTTGTTTTTCCAGGATAGAAAGTTGGGGTGGTGATAGGCCTCTCTCAGCAGCTGCAAAGAGACCCCTGTCCTCTGTTGCATTTGGCCAGGGGTTTTCAGTGTTTCGGGGAGCCTGAGGGGCTCCACAGAAGTGTCAACTTAGAGGAGGAACAGAGAGGCACAGGACTGTCTTTCATCCTCTCTTTAGCCAAACAAGAAACTCTATTTAATATTGTGCTTCTGTGTAATGTTTTGCTTGAAGAAACGGTTTCGCAGCTAGAAAAAAGAAAGCTTGAAAACCGTTGCACAGAGCCTTTTAGTATTTACTGATGAACTTGATTGTGCTCTTTAAGGATCGTGTGGACGGATTTTGCCCCCTACTCTTTTTCAGTTGCTTTTTCTGAAAAGCTAAAAACATGCTGAAACATGGCAATTTTAGGGCAGTTTTAGGATGAGTAAACACTCCCATCCCCGTGCTGTACCTGGGGAATTAGTTCACGATGCTGCTCTTTGCTACTTGCTTTTGGGCTAAGCAGTGTTGGTTTCCTCATATTCAATTGTTGGTAATGTTTGTGTTATGGGAATGGGGGTGGGAAAGAATGGAAGGCTGAGAGTGTTTTGGAGAGACTAGAACTTTGGCTCAACAGGAGGCCGAGTAGTTGAACACCTGAGGGAGTGGTCTGTGAAATAGGGCTGAGGCTATCATTCCATTCTCGGGGTCGGTAGGTCCTGGTTTCCAGGGCAGAGCTCATAATCTTCTCTGGTTTCTGGTGACACAGAGCAGCTCATGTGCCTCTTGTTCCAACACAGGCCCCCCCAGTGAACTTTCTAGGAAGGCCTCCCTTAAACTCTAGGGCATGGCCGAGCTCTGTGGGTATCTCCTGCCTTCTGTAGGGCCCTGTGTGCTGCTGGAGTGTGTAGGCACCTAATGGGACAATTTGATGACTTTCTCCAGCTTTCAAAGCCCAGCCCTGCTCCCTTTATCTGCCTGGTCCCCAAATGCTTATTATCCTCGTCCTTCCAAAGCATGGCACCGCCTCCTTCCAAACACCCTCCTTTCTGAACCCTTTGCCATTCTCATGTCTACGGGTGTTCCTTCAGCACGTGTGGACTCATGCCGTCTGAATCAGCACCTATTTATCGATTCATTGACGTAAGCAGTTTAGATGCCATCATGTTTGCCTTTCTTTTCGTCAGTGAGGTCTTAGGGAGGAGGGGCAGGGCCTCTCTTTTGTCAGGTCTCTGTCCATCTGCATCCACTACCGTATGCTGCCTGCGGTGGACAACTCAGGATGTGGATCGATAGCAGCGGAGGGGCGCGTTCAGCGAGCATGAGCGGCTCTGGCAGGGCGCACAGCCCAACTCCAGCACCTCCTCATCCTCTCTGTACAAAGGGGCCGTTCAGCACATTTGGAGGCTCAACACTCCACCAAGAAAGGCTTTATAAAGTGGTGCTTATCCATTAAATGTCTCAACTGTCTCAACACGCACTTGATAAACATCAGGGTGAAAGTACAGGAAGTGACTAATCAGGAAGCCTCGAATGGAAAAGTTAGCAGATGGCTGCTAAAAGAAATCTGAGAAAGCCTAGGGGACAGGGTGGGGTGGGGTGGGGAGACTTTGTAATGGGAGAAGTGTTCTTTAGATGTCATGACTGTAGGTCATGGTTTGTTGAACTTTACTCTCCTCGGCAAGAAGATTGGTTCTATGTTTTACGTTTATTCATTATTCATTCATTTATTTAACACTTATATAGTAGTTTACCATTCTAAGAACCCATTATGAGATAGGTACTATTATTATCTCCATTTTACAGATGGAAAAACCAAGGCCCAGAGAGCTTAAATAACTTACCCAAGGTCACACAGCCTAATAAATGATCGAGCCAGGACTCAAAGCCAGGCACTGTGATGCCACAGTCCATGCCCTTGACCACGTTGCTATGTTCCTGCTGGGACGTGAAACATGAAATGTATCCCTGGTATTCAAATAAGTAAGGCCAATTGCCAGTGAAAAAGTTTTCTTTGTAAACAAAAACAAGCATTGCCTCTATTTCTAGTAATGTGGGGCCCTGGAGAATTCCAGGGATAGCAGGTATTATCATTGAATCCAGCACCTCCTGTGTGCCAAGCACAGCACTACATGCTTTGCCTGCTTTGTGATTTCACCATCACCACAATCTTTTAAGTTCAGATAGGACTCCCAGCTCACAGAGGAGGCTTAGAAAAGTTAAGAAACTTGCCTAATGTAGCCCAGCAGAGTCCTGAAGCCTTCTTAGTGAGTTCCTAACAGTTCCCCTAAGTTGAGGAGTTGGAGGAGAGAAGGAAGTTCCTGTTGCCCGTGCTGCGTGTCCCAGCCTCCCTTCTTCCTCCCCAGGGCTGCAGGTGGAGTTCATCAACCCCATCTTCGAGTTCTCCAGAGCCATGAATGAGCTGCAACTCAATGATGCCGAGTTTGCTTTGCTCATTGCCATCAGCATCTTCTCTGCAGGTGCGAGGAGGTGCAGGCAGGAAAAGGGGCAAGAGATTTGCACCAAAGGGGGCTGCAGGCCCCATGGGGCAGGAATTGTGCAAGTGGAAGCCCTTGCTGTGCTACTTTGGGGAGGGGTTGGGTGGGGCATGTCCCTATTTTTGGGGTTATGATTTGGGGTATGGAACTAAGACCTTGGCCAGACCTGCTCCTCAGCTCTATTGGTGACCTATAGACCGGCCCAACGTGCAGGACCAGCTCCAGGTAGAGAGGCTGCAACACACATATGTGGAGGCCCTGCATGCCTATGTCTCCATCCACCACCCCCATGTGAGTCTCTCCCTGCGTTCCCCCCTTTTTCCTCCTCCCCACAGACTCATCCCCTGACACACCTACTTTCCCTTCTAGAATCCTTCCCTGACTACATCTTGCACAGACAATTCACTACCTTTCCCACAATTCCCCTACCCTTGCCCCCTTCCCTGGGAATAGAGACAGAAACTGTACTTGTCTCTCTCCTTCCCCCAGGACCGACTGATGTTCCCACGGATGCTAATGAAACTGGTGAGCCTCCGGACACTGAGCAGTGTCCATTCAGAGCAAGTGTTTGCACTGCGCCTGCAGGACAAAAAGCTGCCCCCGCTGCTCTCTGAGATCTGGGATGTGCACGAATGACGGCTCTTCCACCCACCACCCCCCATCCCCCATATCTTCTGTTTTCTGGGCTGGAAGGCTGAGGCGCCTGGCTGCTTCCTAGAGGTGAAGCAGACTGAGAAGGGCAAACATTCCTGGGAGCCGGGCAAAGGAGATCCTCATGTGGCATTAAAGGAGAGTCAAAGGGTTGGGAGTTTGTGGCTGCTGGGCAGTGGAGGGTCCTGCTAAAACTGTGCTCCATTTGAAGACTGTACTGCCACAACCAAATGGATGGGCCTGGGGGCCACTTTGCACAAGGTTCTGCAGCGCCCTGCCCGTCCTGCCTCCACCACTTCCTGTTTTCCCCGCAGGGCCCCGAGAGAAATTCTCCACTGTCACTCTGCGGCTTGGCCATAAATGCCTCGGGGCTGCCTCACTGATAGGCCTGGCGCCGTTTGTACAGAAAGACCAAAAGGAAGATAGAACGAGAGAAACCATTTCTCTTGGGGGTGGGGGCACGGCCACGGAGGAGGAAACCGTCCTTTAGGATCTGCCTCCAGACGCAGAAGAGGGAGAAAAGGCACAAGTGACAGACTTGGCAGTGAGAGGGTACCTCCTTTTACTAGTCCTAGGAGGGTAAATGAAATGCTGAGGCTTAGATACCCCTTTCCTGTTTAATGATCCAGGTGGGATCAGGTTGTCTTTCTGAAGGGGAGTGTGGGTGAATTTTTAGAACCTAACACCCCAGCCGTGCACCTGTCTTCATGCGCGCCCCCATAATGCCTCGGGTTTTCCGTTGGTACCTAAAAAAAAGGGGGCGGCACAACAGTCCGTGCTCTAGAGCCCCAGGCCCTGTGGGACGGGAAGACAAGTGCCCTGAGGCCAGGGGGAAGCTGCCCCGTTGTGGGTTGGGCCTGTCAGAAGGGCTGGACTCCATTTCCCAGAGGACGCGCGGCACCGTTCACGCCCCCTTCGCTCTGCGCGCTCCAGTGTAGGTGAGACTGCGGCCGGGCCTTCCGGCCTCGGTCCCCCCCGCCGTTCCTGAATTGGTAGGCTCCACCTCCGGGGCAGCCGGCTTTGCAGCCCAGGCTGCTGGGCACGTCCAAGCCGCTAGCGGGGGGAGGGAGGGTGAGGTGTGGGGGACGCTCAGAAAGTCTCAGGAGCAGTTTTATCTTGAGAAGTCGCTTCCAGATCATTCCACATCTCGTCGAAATGGGCTCTATTACCATGTCAAATTAAAATTTCTTTGTGCAACCTAAACAAAAGGTATTCCTTTGGGTCCTCCCCGTGGCTGGCTTGGCGCTGGGCTGGCCCAGCGCTCCCCATCGCCTTCCCACTCCCACACGGAGAGGTGTGTGCGTAGCCGCCTTTCTCCGGAGGTTGGCTCCACCCTTCAGCCCTCGGCTTGGTGCAGCCCTGTAGCCCCCCCCCCGGCGGTGCGTGGTACAGCCTCCGGCCCCCTCAACCTCCCCTTCCCTCACCGGCTCCGAGTGGTACGCGCCCCCCGGTGCAGACACGGAACTGGCGCGCGCTCGAAGCGGCGCTGGCGCCGGCGAGCTTCCGACGCTCTGCTGCCGGGCCCGTCTGGCGGGGCCTGGCCGGTTCCCCAAGGCTCGGGAGGTAGGAAGGTCCAGGCCACTGGGGGTCCTGGAAGGGTATTTGGGATGGGGCTCCCCGGGGGAACGGGCTTTGAGAGGAAACAGGGGCTCTAGGGGGAAGCCGCCTCTGTGAAGAGGCCCTAAAGGAGTGTGGGTAGGGGGCACGGGGTCTGCAGGGGAAGGGGGGGCCGTAGGGAAGGGGGCAGGGCTAGAAGTGAGGGCGCTCAGAGCCGCCGAAGAGGTGCGGGCTGCCGGACTGGGCTCAGCTCACAGAGGCTGGGCTCGATTCCTGCCCGGCTGGCGGGTAGCGCTGGTTCGGGGCGTGGGCGAGGGAGAACTGTCCAGCAGGTGAGGGGGCGGGCAGAGTTGTCTTGCCGGGGACCGAGCCGGGATAAGCACCTGGCGCGCCCGCGCGCCTGAGTGTGCACCTTGTATTTGATCACGGTTTGGAGATCATGTGTGATCTCCAAACATGTTTTTCCGAAAAAGAAAAAAAATTTTTTTTGGTGTTTCAAAACAGGCATTTTGGAGAGTCGACATACCATTTCATCTTTCCTGCAACTGCTTCCCTCCCCATCCTCGTGCATCTCTAAATTCTTCCTCTTCCTGTCCTCCAGCCTCTTCTTCTCCAACCCTCTTCTCCAACCCTGCCAATTGCTTGCCTCATCGCTCTCGTTCTCCCCCACGCTGACCGGTCTGTGCTGATGCACTTGCAAGGTCACTGCCTGGGTAGGAGGGGAGAGAGTCTTCTGTTGTGCTCACGTCAGCAAAGATGTCATCTCGCTCTCCGATTCCTGTGGTTTTACTATGACATTCTGCCCCAAACGAAGGACTAATCCAAAGCGTTGCTAAACGTGGCCATTTGTAGGCTGAAAAGACATAGAGGACTTAAAAGTCTGTGGATTCTAAATCTGCGTCTGGATGGAGTGGATGAGGAAGCAGATAGGTATGCGTTTTGAGCTTGATGCCTTTGGAATACAGGTGGTGAGAACCAGGGACTCGCGATTAGTAAACATGATTGAAGCAAAAGGCCGAGTCTGAGTCTGGGTTGATAGGAAGACAGGATGTGAGTTATAGGTGATGTTAGTCTTTATGGGGAGGGGAGAGAATGCGGAGAAAAGCCTATCTCTACAATCTGAATAACCGGAGGTAGTGGCTGTTGATGAGATATGAAGTGTGGCTAAAAATCTATCCTATCACTAGTGCTGGAGTAGTCACAAGATCTCAGGGTCCTTGTGGTTCTGGAGGGAGAGGAACATGGTAGAGCATGATCATGACTTGAGTTGTAGCAAATGATTCTCAGTGGCAGGGCTGAGATCCCACTAAGGCTAGAGGCCTGATGCACTAATAATATATTAGTAGAAGATACTTCAGGTGTGATTGTTGAGATTCTGGCAGGAAAGGGCCCCTGGTTTTCAGTATAAACATAGATTTCAAGTCTTAGCCTTGAGCTCTGGCCCTGTAAATTCTGTTTTAAGATACATTGGCTCTCACCCTAAGCATTTCCCATATAATTAAAGAAATACGCTTCTTTTACCCATGTCCCTTTTCATTTCTCTATTTCCCTCCCCTTCTTACTCTGCTTGGGAGGACCAGAGATCAACTTTATAACAGTGCCCCACCTCTGCAGTTTGCTCATGATTCCATGGCACTGGAGAGAACCAAAGGACTTTTGGGGTGGTAGTAATACCTAGAAATGAGTATATGGCATGCATAGAAACTTGGTTTTGGTTGCATGGAAAGAAGATATCTTTATCAAAATCCAGAACTAGAACAGAGTATAAACTAAAAATAGATGGGGGAGAAGATAATCTAATAATTAGCAGGTGCTGCCAGTGGAAGAGGTGTCTTTAGATTCAAGGAGAATGAATTGTTATGGCCCTGGCCGACTCTGGAGTAGCAGCTGCTGGCACTGTGCGGTCACCAAGCAGGGGAGGGGCTGTGGCTATGCTATAAATAGTCCTGGGCGCCACAGTCACTATGGAGACAACACCAAATCCTATTACCTGCAGGTCCTCTATTGGGAGCAAGAGAAGGGAGGGAGCAGTATTTTGAGGATTCGAGAGTATTGCAAAGCAGTCTATGTATTATTAAGGAGAGAAGAAGAAAGATAGAACTTCTCATTATCTAAATCAGATAGAATCTTAAGCACACAGGGATTATGCTTGTCTGGGTGTGGGAGTGCACGCCACAGCAGAGAAGGGAGTGATGTGTGTGTATGTAGTGTAATGGGAATATCTGTGTGTATAGCGAAGGAGGTCTTAGTGTGATCATATGTGGAGTACAGAGGTAGAATCCTCTACCCGCTGAAGATAGCCTTGTAGTGGAGTGAAATATTTTACTTAGAGAAGAGTATGGAGACCCAACAGGACATAAATTATAATTAAGACCACGTAAGCTTTTCCTACTTTTTGGACTATGGTTTAGAAATTCCTCTGAGCACCTCTCCCTGTCCTTGCAGAAATCCTGTTATTTCTGCATCTAATTCTTAATTTGTGTAAGAGGTACAAGGACAAAGTCTCATCTGTGTGTATTTGTATCACTGATTCCAGTCCTAGAACAGAGGAGAAAGACTATGATTCAGCACCAAGGGCAGAGCTAGTGACGGTAGCCAGTGGACCCCTTTCTTGCTTGAAGAGGGAAGAGAAAAATGGTTTGGATGAAGCAATTGGGACATAGATATTCTTCATCTGAGAGTCCACAGGGTAAAGTAGCCCGCCGTTGTTACTGTCTGAGTGCATGAAGTATACAGTTTTTATGGTAGTTTCACATGAAGCTGAGTGCAGAATGTTGAAACAGAAAATAATTAGGTTTTCATCCAGGGGTAGGAGTACAGATTAGTGCTGATGAGAGTCTGGTTTGATCCTGATCCACCCTGGACCTGTCCTTAAAGTGACTTAGTTTTTGTTATCATAATGACTGAGTCCAGATGAGACTAACTGGGTCTGTTTTTTCAGAAACAGAGCATCAGGCGTGAGGCTGGAAATGAGCTGCTTTGTAGGGATGGGGGAGGTGAGCCATTATGTATCCTACTTCTTGACATTTGGCTCTGTGATTTCATAAGCCTAGACCGAGCTCTGGGCTAGGGAAAGTGTCATGTTCTCCCATCGTCAGGACTACAACGGGAAGCCCTGCCGACCTCTGACCCTGGCTGGAATAAAGCTGAGGGGGATGAGTCCCTTGGGCACAGCAGTGGATTTTATCAGTACTTTTTTCCTATTGGACTTGAATTTTCAGATAACATCAGAATTCCTCCTGGGAACATTGACTCCTTGTGTGGTGCCTTGAAGTTTCTCTGAAATGAACTGATGAATTGGAACCATGGTGCAAAAGAAGAAGCTCTGTCCTCGGTTACTTGATTATCTGGTGATCGTAGGGGCCAGGTAACCAAGAAGAGCCTGGTTTTTGTTTTGTCATTTGCGATAACCACGACGTGTGTCATTATCCCCTTGCCAACACCCACATCTTTTTGCATATCTCACTTTCCCTCTGTTACTTTACCTTGGCAGGAATACTGGTGCCAGTAGTGAAAACAGCGTCAGGTGGATTGAGAGTATTGGCCCAGAGGAACAGAGACAGAGCAAAATTGCTCCTACCTACCATCTTTGTGTTCTTGGGCAAATATACTCTGCATACCTCAGTTTCCTGGTTTTGTAAAAAAGAAAAGTAGGCCATGCTCTTTACCTATATACCCCCTGTTGGTAATTCTTTAGCTAATACACCTTTAAAAGTGCTAATCATCTTAAGGTCTTAGTAATAATTCTATTGCTGCAATTTTCCTTGCATTTCAAGATAGGTATCTTCATGACAGTACAGATCTCATTTAGCCTGCCAGCTAAGTGCTGCAAGCCGCACCCATGTTTTTCAAGGTCATGCAGTTGGGTTACTTTATCCAAAATAGCATTTTGAGCTTTATTTCTGGACCGCGGTTGACATCTGAGACGGCATCCTATCCCTTCAGGCTGCTGAACCCGTCTTTATGTTCTTCAGGCACCCAAGCAGTGATAGTGTGGCCCAGACTCCTGAATTACTGCGGCGATACCCATTGGAGGACCATGCCGAGTTCCCCCTGCCCCCAGACGTAGTGTTCTTCTGCCAGCCCGAGGGCTGTCTGAGTGTGCGGCAGCGGCGCATGAGCCTGCGGGATGACACTTCTTTTGTCTTCACCCTCACTGACAAGGACACTGGAGTCACTCGTTATGGCATCTGTGTTAACTTCTACCGCTCCTTCCAGAAGCGTATCCCTAAGGAAAAGGGGGAAGGTGGGGCAGGGTCCCGTGGGAAGGAAGGACCCCGTGCCACTTGTGCCTCAGAAGAGGTTGGCACTGAGACCTCAGAGAGTGGCATGTCCCTGCAGCCCCCCACTGTTGACGCCGCCCCCGATGTGAATCAGTCTCCTCGGGGCAAACCCCGGGCCAAGGCAGGGAGCCGTTCCCGCAATAGTACTCTGACATCCCTGTGTGTGCTCAGCCACTATCCCTTCTTCTCCACCTTCCGAGAATGTCTGTACACCCTCAAACGTCTGGTGGACTGCTGCAGTGAGCGGCTGCTGGGCAAGAAACTGGGCATCCCTCGAGGCATACAAAGGTACAGTTTGCCACTGACACTCAGGAGAGAGGGAAGCAGTTAGAGATGAGATGTAACTGGTCTGTGAGGGGCAGGAAATTTCCTCTGAAGCCTGAGGGCCTTCGTATATCTAGAAGGAAGTGTTGTCTTATTAGCACCATGCTCTAGCCAGCTGAGCTAACCGGCCACTGTGGAAGTGTTGTCTTAGATCCTGTTGAACATTTAAGAATAAACTTTTGTAAAAAAAAAAAAAAAAAATCATTAAAAATAGCCTGAGGCCCTTCATCCACCTATTTAAGCATATATTAGTCCTTCCTTTTTTTTTTTTTTTTAAGATTTTATTTATTTATTTGAGAGAGAGAATGAGATAGAGAGAGAGCATGAGAGGGGAAAGGGTCAGAGGGAGAAGCAGACTTCCTGCTGAGCAGGGAGCCCGATGTGGGACTCGATCCCGGGACTCCAGGATCATGACCTGAGCCGAAGGCAGTCGCTTAACCAACTGAGCCACCCAGGCGCCCTATATTAGTCCTTCTAAGGGGAAGACTGCTGCAGAGTTAGACTTCCTAACGTAATAATGTTTGGAGTTTGCTGTTTCATGGCAGGCAGGAATCTAAGTCCTGCTATGTACACATTTTTACATCTGTTCTCACTCTTGTATATACCCTCTGGTCCTAGCTGAGCCCAAAGAGTGGGCTTTTCCAATTGTCATCATTTTTACCATATGGTTACTGTATTGTGTTGCAGTGAGGTATGAGCTCTTGGTGCTTATGTGTCTGTTTCCCGCTGTCTGCTCCTCAGGGACACTATGTGGCGCATCTTTACCGGATCATTGCTAGTGGAGGAGAAGTCAAGTGCCCTTCTGCATGACCTTCGAGAAATTGAGGCCTGGATCTATCGATTGCTGCGCTCCCCAGTGCCCATCTCTGGGCAGAAGCGAGTAGACATTGAGGTCCTACCCCAGGAGCTCCAACAAGCTCTGACCTTTGCTCTTCCAGACCCTTCTCGATTCACCCTAGTGGATTTCCCACTGCACCTTCCCTTGGAACTTCTGGGTGTGGATGCCTGTCTTCAGGTGCTAACCTGCATCCTGTTAGAGCACAAGGTGAGAGAGCCAGCTTTCTAGACCTTTAAGGACAGGGCCTACATCTTTTGCATCTTTTTGTCCCTAGGAGGTAACATGATGCCAGGTATACAGCAGGTACCCCGTAGGTGTGGGTTGAATTGAGGTACTGTCAGTGGCATGTAGTCAGAGGGTTTGCCACTCAGTTGAGTTATCCTTAACTAGACTGACCTAATTCTCTGAAAATATCAGTAGTTCTATTCCAATGGGTGGTCCTGGAATTGGGAGAACAAGAACCAGGAAGGTAAGGCATGGGGCAGAGATCACTGTGGAAGCTACGCTCGTGGAGTCCTAGGGCATGGTGAAATGGAAATTAAGTGGTAGCGCTGGAAACTGTTTTCTCATCAACCTTATTTGTGCTGTTGAATGATCCTTGTGGTGTGGCTTGCGGCAGGTGGTGCTACAGTCCCGAGACTACAATGCCCTCTCCATGTCTGTGATGGCATTTGTGGCAATGATCTACCCACTGGAGTATATGTTTCCTGTAATCCCACTGCTGCCCACCTGCATGGCATCTGCAGAACAGGTGAGTTTCAGGTGTTTTCTGGCTTCGTCACCTCTGTCTTCCAGCTCTGTCCAGGTCTGAGGGAGAACGATCAATACCAAGAAGTTGAAAATCAGTACTCGTCTTCAACCCCTTATTATAACTTATTTGTCTGTAAAACATGACCTAACTTGAACTGATTTGATGGCAAAACCTATGTTATTTATGGTTTTTACTTTCAAAGTAAATGTTGGGGCGCCTGGGTGGCTCAGTCGGTTAAGCATCTGCCTTCGGCTCAGGTCCTGATCCTGGGGTCCTGGGAGGGAGCCCCGAGTTCGGCTTCCTGCTCAGCGGGGAGCTTGCTTCTCCCTCTCCCTGCCGCTCGCCACCCCCCCCCCGCTTGTGCACACGATCTCTCTCTCTCTCCAATGAATAAGTGAAAAAAATCTCAAAAAAAAAAAAAGTAAATGCTAATAATCATAGGCTACTGGGTACACTGTTGCAGGTGTTACATAATATACAGAATATACACTGTTACCTTTCTAAAATCTGAAAAACTGTGAATACCGAAACACATGTACCCTCAAGAGTTTTGGAAAAGAGATTGTGGACCTGCATTTCCTTATCTGAAAAGATCCTGATTCTTTAAGTGATCACAATAGGTTTAGTTTTTGTTTCTTACCCTCTTTTCTTTCCACAGCTGTTGTTGGCTCCAACTCCGTACATCATCGGGGTCCCTGCTAGCTTCTTCCTCTACAAACTGGACTTCCGAATGCCTGATGATGCCTGGCTGGTGGATCTGGACAGCAATAGGGTGAGGCTCTTGGCTAAGGGACTGCAGAGTCTAGAATAGGATTTCTTTCTCTAGCGTTTTCTTTTTCTAGATTATTCCCAGGAAGGTCCTCAGTTGGGTGATTTCTCTTGTGTGACTCATTGAAACAATTTTTTTAAGTGCTTAGCTTTTACTTTATTGGCTTAATAGTCCCTTGGTTAGGGCTCAAAGGAGGGTAAGATTCAGTTTTGCCAGAATGAAGTGCTGCCCTGCATCTAGGAGCAGCAGGGTAGTCGTGATTGTGGGAACACTACACATAGATAGCTCACCTGATGGTTTTCCTGGGGTATGGTTTCTAGTAAGAAAGTGTCTTTCAGTGCAGACTTAAAATGTATATTAATATTCTGTGGTGTGAATACATTCAAACTTCAGCAGGAACCCTTATATGTGTTCATTGTAAAACTTTAAAAATACAAATAAGTGTAAAGAAATAAAACCACAGTCCTATCATGTAGAGATAGTCACCGGTAACATTGAGGTGTATTTCTTTTTAGGGTGTATGTGCATATTTTATACGTATGTATATATATGTAATATATGGACTCACATATAGGTGAAAATATCGTGTATACAACTTACTATTTTTGTTACTTATTCTATGTAAGAGTACTCCTGAGCAATTAATTCTAAGCTCATGCCTTTAACTTTTTCCTGGTGCAGGTGATTGCCCCCACCAATGCAGAAGTGCTCCCAACCCTGCCAGAACCGGAATCCTTAGAGCTGAAAAAGCATTTGAAGCAGGTGGGTGAAGAGTGACGAAAAGGAAGGGAGCAGTGGTTACTCTAGGGCGGCCGTAGGCTGTAGGTATTGTAAGAGCCACTTCCCTTTCAGACGTCAAGTGGAATAGATTTTCTTAGCTAAGAAGAGGTGTGTCCCATTTCTGGGTGTCAGGATGAATCTCAAAACGGGCTTTTATTTATTTATTTATTTTTAAGATTAGTTTTAAGAAAGAGAGCACGTGGGGAGAGGGAGGGGCACGGGGAGAGAATCTCAAGCAGGCTCCCCACTGAGCATGGAGCCCAACGCGGGGCTGGAGGCCACGACCTTGAGATCATGACCTGAGCTGAAACTAAGAGTCGGACATTCAACCGACTGAGCCACCCAGGCTCCCCTCATGTCAACCATTCCTTATGGCCTTAGAGCATTCTGTCAGTCTTGTAAGGAAGGAGCTAGTCATTTGGACAATCTGACTCCTTTTATATTTTCCTCTTGAATTGATCTCTAGGTCCCTGTAGAATGCTTTCTTCAAAAATTCCTCTCTTTGGGGCACCTGGGTGGCTCAGTCGTTAAGTGTCTGCCTTCAGCTCAGGTCATGGTCCCAGGGTCCTGGGATCGAGCCCCGCATCGGGCTCCCTGCTCCGCCGGAAGCCTGCTTCTCCCTCTCCCACTCCCCCTGCTTGTGTTGCCTCTCTCGCTGTCTCTCTCTCTGTCAAATAAATAAAATCTTAAAAAAAAAAATTCCTCTCTTTGAGTAATCCTTTAAATACATTTTTCATTGATTGATTTTCTTCCTCTTCTGCATGCTGAACACAGTACCTGAAGGTAAAATATGACAGGGTCCCATTCCTTTGCCCTTTTGTGTGTGTTATGTAGGACCACCAGTAGATGGCTCCGTATTTTTTTATAGGAATCCTTGTTCTCATCTGAAGGGTCTTCAGGAATCTTCCTATTGTCTTTGTTGCTCAGCGGTACCTCTGGATCTTTGGGTTTAAATGGGCCATTCTGTAGCATCCCTCTCCCTCTGCCTTGCTTCATCCCTGCTGATGTAATATGGTGTCTTGTTACTGCAGAGACTGGTGAGGATTGCAAGTTGAGAAAGTTCTCTGCCTTCCTTTTCTGTGTTTTCATTCTTGATGATTGCTTTAGTATGACTAATGAGATGGAGAAGTTGATATGTAGAATTGTACTTTAAATGTTTATAGGAGTTAAGATCCCTGGGCTCATTAATCCTGTATTCTTACCCCTGCTACTTGAAATGTGATTCATGGACCAGCAGCATTACCATTGCCTGCGGTTGTTAAAAGTGCGGGATCACCCCAGATATATTGAACCAGAATCTGCATTTTAACAACATTCTCAGGTGACTCCTGTGCTCATTAATATTTAAGAAGCCCTCCTCGTCTAGACCAGTGGTTTTCAAACTGCCCCAAGGAGCCTCTGAGGGGCTGATTTAGGCTGAGAACACAACATGTGAGGTTCTGGGTTCCTTATGTCCTTCAGATAAGCTTTACTTTTAAGTGTTTCAGTTGTTTATATTTTCATATAGATTTCAACTGAAACAACATTTCATGGCTAAAATAAATTTGAAAACTATTGCCCTGGGTTCCAGATTTGATCAAGTTGCCTTGAGCTAGGTTGGCTTAAACTGAAAGGCTATATAATTCAGATTATCTTCTAAAGGTTAAAGTATTTGGATTCTTCTGTCAAAGGCTCTTTCCTAGATGAGATTGACCAGCTGCACAGGAATCTGCATTCCATAGAGGATTCCTTGTTGTTCCACAGGCCCTTGCCAGCATGAGTCTCAACACCCAGCCCATCCTCAATCTGGAGAAATTCCATGAAGGCCAGGAGATCCCCCTTCTCTTGGGAAGACCTTCTAACGACCTGCAGTCCACACCTTCCACTGAATTCAACCCACTCATCTATGGCAATGATGTGGATTCTGTGGATGTTGCAACCAGGTATGACCACCATGACTGGATAATCACGAGCTCTTAAACTGGGTTCTGCTCTCTCAGTAGTTGTATTTGCCACCTTAGTAAAAGCAAAGAGAACAACTAGTTCCTCATACTCTCAGGCCTTTTAGACCTCGAGTGAAGAAAGAGATTGATGATTAAGATCCCTCTCCCTTGGATGTTGGAAGCCTCTGAAGTGATGGCTTGGGGAGGTGGTCTGAGACCTTGGATTGCAGCAGTCCTTACAGTGCAGGGTGTGGGACTCAGATTATGTCACCATTCTCTTTTTCCCCAGAGTGGCCATGGTCCGTTTCTTCAACTCCCCCAACGTGCTACAGGGCTTTCAGATGCACACACGTACCCTGCGTCTCTTCCCTCGGCCTGTGGTAGCTTTTCAAGCTGGCTCCTTTCTAGCCTCACGTCCCCGGCAGACTCCTTTTGCTGAGAAGCTGGCCAGGACTCAGGCTGTAGAGTACTTTGGAGAATGGATCCTTAACCCCACCAACTATGCCTTCCAGCGAATTCACAACAGTGAGTGCACTTGCCCTCTGCTCTGTCCTGCCTCACCTTCTGCCTTTGTCCCCTGATGGCTCTTCCCTTTGCCTTTTCTCATCTTTGACCTGCCCCTTCCATTCCTATTTCACTTTAGACTTTTTCCTATCTTTCTTTTATGTTTCGCTTGTTTTTTTTCCTCCTTGTTGCTAACCCTGTTCTTTCTTCTCTTCGGGTAGACATGTTTGATCCGGCCCTGATTGGTGACAAGCCAAAGTGGTATGCTCATCAGCTGCAGCCTATCCATTATCGAGTCTACGATAGCAACTCCCAGCTGGCTGAGGCGCTGAGTGTGCCCCCAGAGCGCGACTCTGACTCAGACCCCACTGATGACAGGTGAGCAGCAAAACCGCTTTTTAAGGTAAAGAGGCTATCGCTAGCCCTTACTGAGCACAATGGTGAAGTCTTATAGGACTTAGACGTTAGGTTAGTCTTTGAAGCCTTGGTTATATTCTGGTTGATTGTTTTGTGTTAGCTTACTTATTTTATCTTGTTCCCTGGCCTTGATTAAAGAGTGTACCTCTTTTTTTTTTTTAAGTTTTTTTTTTAAAGACTTATTTGAGAGAGAGAGAGAGAAAGAGCACACGGAGGAGTGGAGAGAGAGGGAGGGAAGCAGACTCCGCTGAGCGCAGAGCCCGACATGGGGCTCGATCCCCCAACCCTGAAATCATGACCAGAGTTGAAGTCAGGAGTTGGATACTTAACCGACTGAGCCACCCAGGCGTCCCCTGTTTTTTTAAGTTTTTAATTTTTAAAAAAAAATTTTTTTAAGATTTTATTTATTTATTTGAGAGAGAGAGAATGAGAGAGAGAGAGAGAGAGCACAAGAGTGGGGAGGGTCAGAGGGAGAAGCAGACTCCCCGCTGAGCAGGGAGCCCGATGCGGGACTCGATCCCGGGACTCCAGGATCATGACCTGAGCCGAAGGCAGTCGCTTAACCAACTGAGCCACCCAGGTGCCCTTAAGTTTTTAATTTTAATTCCAGTGTAGTTAGTATACAGCGTTATATTAGTCTCAGGTGTACAATACAGTGATTCAGCAGTTCTACACATTAGTCAGTTCTTATCGTGATAAACGTACTCTTTAATCCCCATTACCTATTTCACCCCCACCCTCCTCCTCTCTGGTAGCCATCCGCTTATTCTGTATCGTTAAGAGTTTCTTTCTTGGTTTGTCTTTTTTTTTTCCTTTGTTCAATTGTTTTCTTTCTTAAATTCTGCATATGGGTGAAATCATATGGTATTTATCTTTCCCTGACTTATTTCATTCAGTATTATACTCTGGCTCCAACCACGTTGTTGCAGATGGCGAGATTTCATTCTTTTTTATGGCTGAGTAATATTCCTCTGTGTGTGTGTGTGTGTGTGTGTGTGTGTGTGTGTGTGTGTGTGTGTGTATGAGAGTCCTTCCTTTTTTATTTTTCCTCCTGCTGATTCTTTTCCCTGCCCCTTTCTTCCGTTCTATTTTTATTTTTGTTTTTATTTTTATGCTCTTCACTCTGCAGTGGCAGTGATAGTATGGATTATGATGATTCAAGCTCTTCTTACTCCTCCCTTGGTGACTTTGTCAGTGAAATGATGAAATGTGACATCAATGGTGATACTCCTAGTAAGTGTACTTGGGGAGATTGGCCGGCTCTGGGCAGGGTTTGGGGCTCTGGGACCGTGTGGTCTGTACCTGCCACCTGGGGTTTTGGCAGATGTGGATCCGTTGACACACGCAGCCCTGGGGGATGCCAGTGAGGTGGAGATTGATGAGCTGCAGAACCAGAAGGAATCAGAGGAACCGGGCCCAGACAGCGAAAACTCTCAGGAAAACCTGCCGCTGCGCTCTAGCTCCAGCACCACCACCAGCAGTAGCCCCAGCATGGTCATCCATGGAGCTACTTCTGTACGTGAGGACTTGGAAGGATGGATAAGGGTGGGATGTGGGCCACGCTTCTATTAGAAAGTCGAGGCTGAAGCTGTTAATTTGCCTCTTCACATTCTTCCTGTCTTCGTCTCCATAGGTCTCCTAACTTAGAGCCTAGGAGACACAGTTTTGACCCCAGAAGGAACTCATCGGGCTTTGTTCAGGGCTTAGCTAAGGTCCCCCTTGCCTAGTTTGTGGGCACAGAGAACAGGGGTGTCACAGAGATCTTTTCTCCCACATTCCCTTAGGATAGGAGATGGGAACTTGAGAGGCCTGGCTTGGCCCTGCTAAACTGAGAATACAGGAAAGTATCACTGGGCACCGGGTGACCAGTTTTTATTTAATGTGGCCTTTAGGAACCTGCCGACTCAACAGGGGTGGACGATAAGGCAGCAGGAGGTGTCTCCAAGTCCCTCCCGACCGTGCCTCCCAGCACTGGCAAATCGAACGCAGACAGGCGCCAGACAGAAATTGGAGAGGGGTCAGTGCGCCAGCGAACCTATGACAATCCGTACTTCGAGCCCCAATATGGCCTTCCCCCTGAGGAAGATGATGATGAGCAGGGGGAAAGTTACACTCCCCGATTCAGCCAACATGTCAATGGCAGTCGGTGAGAGCCTGGGGACTCCTTCTAGATGGGTGACTGAAGGACCTCACTACAGTGGAGCCTGGGTGAGGGTTAATCAGAAAGTTGGAGAAGTCCAAATGCTCTGGTGGCCCGCCATCCCAAGGTGGTGCTTTGATCTAGGCATAGGAGTTGTGGGAAGGGACCTGTGACGGCAGTGTAGCGTCAGGCCCACACTCCCAAGACTAGGTACCCCTGCCTGGAGCTCACAGGTGCCACTGTGCATTCAAGGGCTCAAAAGCTGCTGCGGCCCAACAGCTTGAAACTGGCAAGCGACTCAGACGCAGAGTCAGACTCTCGAGCGAGCTCACCCACCTCCACCGTCTCCAACAACAGCACCGAGGGCTTCGGGGGCATCATGTCTTTTGCCAGTAAGTGCCTTTAGCTCTCCTGCCTCTGTCCCCGTTTTCTCTGCAGTAGGGCCTGGCCATGGTGGATGCTGCTTAGAACTTCAGATGTAGGGCTGGATTGGTGTTACCGAGCCCCAGTCCAGGTGGTTTGGGTGACAGGGAATAAAGTATTTTCACGGGAGGTCGGTAAAGGACAGGGACAGATTAGTCTCTGTCTTTATCCCCAGAGGTTTCAGTCTGTCTCAGGTAAGATAGCTGGTCAACTGAGAAAGAGTCATTGTATTGAAAGTCATATATTTTGTGGAAATAAAGTGGTCAAATTTGATTTGGGTTCTGTATCTAATACCTTCTTTGCCTGGTGAAGGACTTTTTCATGAACACACTTTGAAATCTATATGAGGTTGACTTTTGTGCCTAGAGAGTATTTCCAGAAATGAGGGGTGGTGTCAGTCAAAGATTGAGGACAGACCAGGGACCAGATAATTATGATTGTGAGTTTTTTCAGAAGCCAGGTAGGGACAGCACCAGCTTCTGACCAAAAGTGCATAAACTGTCAGCTTTCATGCTGAGTTAGCGGTTGATGCGAGACTCGGCTGTTACCAGGGGAGGTGGTCAGAGAAGGTTGTTACTGGGTTTTGAGCCATCCTGGCAGTTGCCCTAAATTATAGACTCAGTCCTTGCTATGGTAGATCAGAGGTACTGGGATTATGTTTGAAAAGGAGGAAGATGGAGTTGATGGTCCAGTCATCAGCTTTGATTCCTTATGCTCCTAACTGCTCACTCTCCCACCCTCCCCTTGGCAGGCAGCCTGTATCGGAACCACAGTACAAGCTTCAGTCTTTCAAACCTCACGCTGCCCACCAAAAGTGCCCGAGAGAAGACCACACCCTTCCCCAGTCTGAAAGGTAACTACAGCCCTCCTTCTGCCGACCCAGGATTCTCCGGGAGCTATTTCAGGCCTCTGGGCGCTTGTCAGGAGCCCTGTGTGTGATGACTCGTTTGATTTGGCTGTGGCCCCCCGTCCCGCTTCTCGTGGCTTCCATTGCACATGGTGGGCTCTCTGGTTTTTTAGATGGAAACAATCTTTATAGCTGAGGGGAAGGCCCTGTTATGTCATTTAGGATAAGAGCAACTGTGAGATTACTGCTGCTTCTGGCGGGATCCATAGTTACACAGGCGTCATCAGCTGCCACCAGTCATCTGCCAGGTCCCCACCGCGTGAGCAGAGGAGGAGCTCCATCCCAGGGGGCTGGCCTGCTGGGGCGGTTGAGAGAGCCTGCCGGTGTTCATAGAGCCAAGAAGCCTCTTACTTTGGCTTCACGTCGATGGGCCCTGCGGGTGGGCCAGGTAGTATTGGTTGGCTTCTGAGAGAAGTTAAGACCTTATTTGATCTTCATTTGTGATCTCGGAGAGTCTGAAGGGCTCTTCGGAACTTACTCTATTGACATTTGTTTGTTTTCTCTAGCTATTGTGCTGAAATATTTAATTACAATAGAAAGCATAGTGAGAAGCAGTTCTGTGTATATTTTAACTGACTTCTCTCCCCAATGATTAAAAACTTCAGGAATCAAAGGAGTGTTCTCTGGTGGGGGTGGGAACATAGGGTAGGTGGGCAGAGACACACAATAGCTAGAGGTGTAGGGCGCAAACCCACACACAACTCAGTAGCTTAGGGGTGGGGAGGTGTTAGCATCCCCGGCTTTGATGCAGTTGGGGAGGAAAGCGGTTGAAATGCCTCCGTCGCATGCTGATGCTTCACTTCATTTGTTGTCCTTCTTGCTCCCGTCCACCTGCCATCCTCACACCCCCGCCCCACTTCCCATGACAGCATCTGCAAGATGGGTCTTCTCTCCCCGCATACCGGCAGGCCCTCTGGACCCCTGTGCTAGATGTTTTGTGAAAACCAGCAGTCCCACTTTCATGCATGTGCCTGTGTAGTACCTGAAGGTCCCTCATGTCATTTACCCTGCCCCTGGCTTTTAGAGACCATAGTCTTAAGGATGGTCTTTCCTAGAGCCTTGGTGGTTTCCTGATCTCTTGGCTTCCAGCTCTGAGGTGCCTGAGAACTAAGGTCATGTGCACTAAGCTTTGGGAGAATCCTCAGGTTGTCTGACTTACAGCTCCGTTGAGGGGAACAGGGGTTGTGGTATCATGGTGCACCTACTAATTGTGTATTTTGTGTCCCAGTATTTGGGCTAAATACTCTAATGGAGATTGTTACTGAAGCCGGCCCCGGGAGTGGTGAAGGTGGGTCTTACCCGTGAGCTGTGCATGATCTTTTTTTCCTAGCATCTTCCGTGCCTGCCTGAGGGCCGTCCTCCTCATGGGGCAAGCAGTATCACACGAGTGACCTGCCTTGCCCCGTCCCCTGTGACGCCCGTGCTTGCCCATGGGCGTGCTGCTGGTGCATGTGGAGTGGCCTGAGTCTCCATCCCCACCTCTTCCACGTTGCCATGGCTGGTTTCTACCTATGTGTGATGCCCCAGGGCCACCCTCACCCAGCCCTTCTGGGGAATGGGTGTGGACCGTGGCTCCCCAGGGCGGTGCTGACACAGGCTACTCTCATTCCTACCTTCCTGGCTATAGGAAACAGGAGGGCCTTAGTGGACCAGAAGTCGTCTGTTATTAAACACAGCCCAACAGTGAAAAGAGAGCCTCCATCACCTCAGGGTCGATCCAGCAATTCTAGGTAATAAATGGCTGAGCTGTTTCGGAAGTTCTGTGCTAGAGGTCGTGATTCCTGTACCACTTTAGGGATGCTCAGGAGTGGGAGAGCACCTCTCAGTCGGGTAGATGAAGTCAGTCCCTGTGCGCACTGCCTATGTGGCGGTAGTAGCCCACGCCAGTGAGGAGAATGAAACCACAGTGCTGGGTATGCGGGGTGGGGGTGCGGGGTGCGGGGGACTTGGACGCCTGGGGACATGGCTTTGTGCTTTGCCCCTGGAGGCGAGCATCTAGGCTGGTGAAGTGGGGGGGATGCTCTGCACAGAAGCTGATGACCACAGAAGTGGTGTGTGGACCCCACAGTGAGAACCAGCAGTTCCTGAAGGAGGTGGTCCACAGCGTGCTGGATGGCCAGGGCGTTGGCTGGCTCAACATGAAAAAGGTGCGTCGGCTACTGGAGAGCGAGCAGCTGCGAGTCTTTGTCCTGAGCAAGCTGAACCGCACAGTGCAGTCAGAGGATGATGCCCGGCAGGATGCCATCCCCGACGTGGTCAGTGTCTGGGGTGGGGAGCTGGCATCAGCTGGAAGAGGGACCTGGACACCAAAGGCAGTTTTGCCAACTCTCACCCCTGGCTTGTTGCAGGAGATCAGTCGAAAGGTGTACAAGGGAATGTTAGACCTGCTCAAGTGCACGGTACTCAGCCTGGAGCAGTCCTATGCCCACGCAGGTCTGGGTGGCATGGCCAGCATCTTTGGGCTTCTGGAGATTGCCCAGACCCACTACTATAGTAAAGGTAGGATCACACTGGCTGGGCCAGCACCGTCCACAGCTCTCGCACTGATCTCCAAGGAAAGGGAACTTGTTCTTTTTACAAGTTTCCCAGGGCCAGGCTGCTTCCCATCAGACTTCAGGATTTTATTTTTTAATGCACGTTTGTCTGTACTGGGTATTTTTCTGTCATGAAAAAGATGTCCACTTTTCTTTACTTGCACTTCTTCCATTCTCCATCCTCCTGCAGCCTTGTTTCTCCTGCCTCACTCCCATAGCTCGATTTCCACCTACTGTCTCTTTTGACCTCTTCCTCTATTCGATCTTTTCCTAGAACCAGACAAGCGGAAGAGAAGCCCAACAGAGAGTGTACATACCCCAGTTGGCAAGGATCCTGGCCTGGCTGGGCGGGGGGCCCCAAAGGCTACGGCACAGCTGAGAGTTCCCCAGCTGGGACCTCGGGCGCCAAGTGCTGCAGGAAAGGGTCCTAAAGAACTAGACACCAGAAGTTTAAAGGAAGAGAACTTTGTAGCATCTGTTGGTATGTATCACTGTGTTTGGTGTGGTGGAGAGAGGGTTCTGGCTTCTTAAATACCTCTCCCTCCTTTCAATTCATCCAGAATCCTGTCTTTCTTTTCCCTCATGCTTTGCTTTCTAGAGAGGGAGATAGGTCTGCATCCATTTCTGATGGTATATCTTTGTACTTCTTTATCCCTTATGCTTCCTTTTTTAGGCATCCCCACGTACATCTTAGAGGAAGAAGGGAAGTTTTGCTTAGAAGGCTCGGTGAGGTTTAGTGCAGGGAGTCTGAGCTCTATTCCTGGTCCCTCTTTTTATTTACATCTGAATTTCTTCACACAGTGGAGAGCCATGTGAGCTCCTGGAAGCTGTAAGAAAGTTTATAGATACATCTTTGGTCTATAAAATTATGATCATCTGGGCCGGTTTACCCCCATCCAACCATGACACTACCCTCAAATTTGCTTCTCTGGGGGGTGTCCAGAAACCTCATTTCCCTGGGCTCTAGGCCTCAAGGTATAGATTTCTGAATCAGCTTTTCTTTAAACCTTCCTTACTGGACTTGATTAAGAGCTTGTTTACATTGAGTGTTTTCTCCATTCCCCCTAAGGCAGTGCCTTAGTGAGCTCTCTGCGTGGCACCTCCACTTGACCCCCTCTGTACTTGACCTTGGGTTATGTAGGTTGTGTCTTTCTTTGTCTGGTTCTGTTTCCGTGGGCATTATGCTTCTAATGGATGCTTCTTTGCCACACCATTAGCATTTGTCTTGTGCTCCCATAAATGGAGATGAGGCATCAGTTTCCTTCGTTGGGGAGCTCCCCTTCTCTAGCCAGCAGAACAGTGTCCTAGAGGTGGTCAACCCTGCCTTTCTCCTGCATGATGTGCTGTTCTAGAAAAAGTACCCACCCGCAAGTCTGAAGGCCTGGAGTTTTAGTCCCGTATCTGCTTCCAGCTAGGAATGAGTGTTTGGGCAAAGCACTTCGTCTCTCAGGGTCTCTATCTCCTCATCTGGGAAATGAGGAGATCGGATTAAGTAGATACTCAAGTTCTTCCAGGAAAAGAATGCTATCATCGATATTCTCTCTTCTTTACCCCAACAAATATGCTATTCTTGACCATTTCGTGTTCTCTGTCACCTTTACCGGAAGCATTTTTCCTGATGACTGGTTAAGAATGGGTCACTTGGCAGGGAAGACACTGATTTTGTGGGTGAATTGGATTTTTTAGTAGTGGCAAGGAGGGATGCTAACTGCCTGCATGAGTGGTCTCTGTCCAGTCCAGCAAATCAAACAGAATGGTGCTCACGCTTCCGAACCCCTTTGGCTGCTTGAGGTGATCATCTGTCTTGTCTGGAATCTTTAAAAATTATTGTTGCCCAGCTCATTTTGCAGAGAGAGCATGGCGTGGTGGAAGTTTAAACTAGTCCGAAGTTACATGATCTCGAGCAGAGTGCTCCAGCCTTGTTAGGATCAGTTTCCTCAGGCCAAAATGGAGGAGCTTGAGCGAAGGCAGCTCCATCTGTAATGTTCTGCAGGGTTTTTACTATCACTTTCAGGTTCGGGTTAGGAATTTAGGGTCTTTAGTCCATGAGTGGGGGAGGGGGTGCTTTGGATCTCTTGATTTTTAACCCCCCAAAATGAAGATCTCTTTATATCTTGATTTGTAATCCTGTGCCTGAGACTGAATCGGCTTGGGTGGGTGGGTTTCCATTCTGTCTGACCAGCCTCTGACTCTGTCTGTCTTTCTCTCCTGCTTACATTGCATCTGGGGTAGAATTGTGGAACAAGCACCAGGAAGTGAAAAAGCAAAAAGCTTTGGAAAAACAGAGTAAGGAACAAATGCCCCTTCCTGTTCCCAAATCTCCCATACCTGCCAACTCCCCAGGCCCAGTTGGGGCAGGCTCCCTTTGTCAGCCCCACACCAAATTTGCTCTTGGGGGGTATTTGGAATAAAAGCAGGTAGGTGGTGTGTGATTCACAGGTATGTGACTTGTAGGCTGCTTCTTTCCCCCTCTCCTCCTAGCAATCAGGCTGTAATCAGGGCGTCTACTGAGTAAAGTCCCTTAGAACGTGGTTCTCTATTGCTCCAGAGTTGGTGGGGAGAATGTTTGTCTATTTCAGTGCCCCTCATTGGCTGGTATCTCCCTCACCCATTAGAAGGCCTGTGGGCACAGTTGGCAGAGATGGTTGCTGTCCCTCCGTGTTGAGTCTGTAGCTTCCCAGCTCTCTCTGGTGGCTTGCCTAGGCACGCTTTCTTGCTTTCTGTCATTCTGTCCTTCTGCCATACCATTGTGGGTGGGTGGGGAAAAAACGAGGGTGGTTTTTATCTCAAATGTAGAAAGGTGTAGGGTTGGGGTAGTTAGTGTCCACAGAAACAGCTGGCGTTTCTGTATCTCGTTGGGCCTGTCCTTTTCTAGCCCCTTTAGACACATTTGTTGGGGAAGCACTGAGTGACCTGGGGACCCTCAATTGGTTTCACACTCCAGGGAAGCTCCGACTCTGAGTATACGGGAATGTGGTTTAGACATTTGTTTGTGGAACTTTCTGTCTTAGAATGATTTGCTGAGAATTTTCTCAGGTTGTGAAAGAAGGCTGTAGAACCCCTTGAGACCAGGTTTATTTGTCCTATTTGGGTCTTAAGGCCTGTGGGGACTTCTTCTGGTGGGGCCTGATGTGGAGGCAGTACCTGGAAAGGTGGCTGGGGCTTGCTGAGGTCTGGGACCTGGCTGTGTGCTGTCCCACTCCCTTCACCAGCCTGCCCCTGGCCTTTGTGTATGGAGTGACAGAGGTTTTCCCCTACCCAGGGCCTGAAGTAATCAAACCTGTCTTTGACCTCCGTGAGACAGACGAGAAAAAATCCCAGATCAGCGCAGACAGTGGCGTGAGCCTGACATCTGGTTCCCAGGTTTGTGACAACCTTGTTGTGAATTACAACGTCAAAACAACATGCATGCCCAGTGATGGGAGAATGATGAAATAAGTGTCATATATCTACATAATACGATACTAGTATCTACTGAAGACTGTGTTTTCAAAAATTTAGTGATATGGGAAAATGTTTTACAAAGCTACATGCAGTATAATTCCCATTTTATTTTTAAAATGTATATAGAAAAGACTGAAAGGAAGTATACTAAAACCTTAACAGTGATTAATGTTAGTGGTAGGTTTATGGCTTATTTTTGTTTCTGTATTCTTTCATGTATTTTCTATCGTGAGCATGTATTCCTTTAATGTTTATTATTTTTTGTCATGCAAGTCATGTATATTTTATATCCCGGAAAAAAATAATCTTCTTATGACCTGTTTAGGGATGATAATAGTAGGTTGGGGTTGAGAAGAAGGAAGAAGATACAGTATTTCTTAGGGAAATGAGAGTAGATGGGACACCTCCTCTAATGTGTCTGAGTCCCCATGTCGTTTCAGAGGACTGATGCAGACTCTGTCATTGGTGTGAGTCCAGCTGTTATGATCCGAAGCTCAAGTCAGGACTCTGAAGTTAGCACCGTGGTAGGGGAACACCACACTGGCATCTTGGGGGGTGGGGGTGTGAGTGCCCCTTTGGAAAAGGGGGCTGCTTTCTCCTTTGGAGGCTCTTAGTCTCATGTCAGCTTGGTTCTCACGGTGGAGATGCTCACCTGGCACAGGTCTGTGTGCGTGGGATCAGACCCTGAGATTTCACCCAGGGTTTCTCAACTTGTAAAGAAGGTACTTCCAGAGGCTACTTGACACACCTTTGACGTTCAGTGCCTTTTTTTTTTTTTTTAAATGGCAGTAGAGAGCTCTGACAGCTGGGCATTTCTGGGAACCCTTCGCTGGGGACTATCCCTTACTACCTTCTTTCCTTGCTAGGTGAGTAATAGCTCTGGAGAGACCCTTGGAGCAGACAGTGACCTGAGCAGCAATGCAGGTGATGGGCCAGGCGGTGAGGGCAGCGCCCACTTGGCAAGCTCTCGGGGCACCTTGTCCGATAGTGAGATTGAGACCAACTCTGCTACCAGCACCATCTTTGTAAGTTTGGTTTACTAACAAAAGGAGATCATTTCTCTCATGAGAGGGGAGTGGGTTAGAAAAGAATGAAACGTTAGGGGCAACTAGAAGGAAAAGAAGTAAGGAGTGGATTATCCCCATATATTTGGCTTCAAAGAAAATGTTTTCTAAGGCTTTTTTTAGAGTTATTTTACTCCATGATCTGGGGCTTTTAGGGCCCTCTCCTGAATCACTGATGAGTCGGGCTCCCCGCCCAGTCAAATCAGGACGTCAAATCCTGTGTAGCAGTTATCCCGTATTTACAGTAGACAAGGTGATAGGAGTCCTTGTGGCAATGCCAGGACAACAGCGACTCTCCTTTCATGTCAGTCTGCCTCTTGCTGGGGGATAGTTTGGTTTTATTCCGGCCACTTCCAGTGCTATATTTATATAGCACTTTTTTTTTTTTTTGTTTTATAGACATTTGTTTGACAGAGGGAGAGAGAGAGAGAGAGCACAAGCAGAGGGAGAGGGAGAAGCAGACTCCCCTCTGAGCTGGGAGCTGGACGGGGGGCTCCATCCGAGGACCCTGGGATCATGACCTGAGCCGAAGGCAGACGCTTAACCGACTGAGCCACCCCGGCGCCCCTATTTATGTAGCACTTTAAAATAGCATTTTACTGGGGCACCTGGGTGGCTCAGTCGTTAGGCGTCTGCCTTCAGCTCAGGTCATGGTCCCAGGGTCCTGGGATCGAGCCCTGTATCGGGCTCCCTGCTCAGCGGGAAGCCTGCTTCTCCCACTCCCCCTGCTTGTGTTCCCTTTCTCGCTGTTTCTCTCTCTGTCAAATAAATAAATAAAATCTTAAAAAAAAAAAAAAAAAAGCCAGGGGCGCCTAGGTGGCTCAGTTGGTTAAGCAACTGCCTTCGGCTCAGGTCATGATCCTGGAGTCCCAGGATCGAGTCCTGCATCGGGCTCCCTGCTCAGCGGGGAGTCTGCTTCTCCCTCTGACCTTCCCCCCTCTCATGCTCTCTCTTTCTATCTCATTCTCTCTCTCAAGTAAATAAATAAAAAAAAAATCTTTAAAAAAAAAAGCCAGTGATCAGTTGGGATTAAAGTAATTCTGTTTAGTCCTTGCCTTTAGACACACTGCGTTTTGGTGTATACATGCCTCTTTAGGCAGCATTAAGCACTCTGATACACTTGTCACTTTATTAGAGTTGAGAATCAATATTCTTTTTTTTAAAGATTTTATTTATTTATTTGACAGAGAGAGAGAGACACAGTGAGAAAGGGAACACAACAGGGGGAGCGGGAGAGGGAGAAGAAGGCTTCTTGAGGAGCAGGGAGCCCGATGCGGGGCTCGATCCCAGGACCCCGGGATCATGACCTGAGCTGAAGGCAGATGCTTAATGACTGAGCCACCCAGGCGCCCCAAGAATCAGTATTCTTTTTATTTTAAAGATTTATTTATTTATTTGAGAGAGCAAGAATGAGAGAGAGAGAGAGTACATGAGAGGGGGGAGGGTCAGAGGGAGAAGCAGGCTCCTTTGCTGAGCAGGGAGCCTGATGTGGGACTCGATCCCGGTACTCCGGGATCATGACCCGAGCCGAAGGCAGTCGCTTAACCAACGGAGCCACCCAGGCGCCTAATCAGTATTCTTTTTTAAAGATTTTATTTGAGCGAGAGAAAGTGAGTGAGAGAGAGCACAAGCAGGGGGAGGGAGAAGCAGACTCCCTGCTGAGCAGAGAGCCCCATGCAGGGCTTGATCCCAGGACCTGGAGACCATGACCTGAGCCAAAGGCAGACGCTTAACTGAGTGAGCCACCCAGGCGCCCTGAGAATGGATATTCCTTATAGGAGCTTATAAGTCCTTATCTTTGGTTTGTGGGGAGAATGGAAGATGAAATTTAAAGTATTTAACACTGGTGATCATTCCCACCCTCAGGGCTTTCTGTGTATGTTTCTAATAGAGCAAATGACATCCCTGAGCAAAGGTAGAGCATGGGATTGAGGGTCAGCAAAGCCATTTGAGTTAATGGACCTTAACTCTCCTTGAGTCTAAATAGACCATTTTATTGAGAGTATTTTAAATCCTTCTAGCATGCCTCCATTCTGGATGTTAAGGTAGACATTATGGGATAGCAGTCTTGCAAGAAGCCATTCAGCTGTGTGCTGCCTTTCCTGGCACCTTCCTGGGACAAATTCTTACTTGTTCTGTGCTGGTGGGCAAGGGCTGTTTTTGTACAGTTGAGTTGCTGAGAGCAATTACCTAAATTTCTTGGCTCAAAAAAAAGGCTGTTTTGCAAGAAATGAGTTCTATGAAGTCAGTATGGTCCACTGAACAAAGAACTAGGCTGTGAACCTGGAGACTGGCGTGTAGACACACTAATTAGGTGTTGCCTAATAACCTTTGATCGATCGCTTCTCCGCTTAGGCTGTCGCATGAGTTGTGAAATGGGCATGAAATTTGCCTCTTACCCACTTGAAATCTTTTTTGAATGAATAGAAAGTCTAATATTGCAGAAATAGCAGGTAAAGTTAGTGATTTTTCTAAGGGCCAGATATTTCTAAGAGATGGTAGGAAAAAGGAAATTAACATTTATCCAATACTAACCATGTGCCAGGCATTGTTAAGTGCTTTGTATGTATTTTCTAATTTAATTCCCATAATGGTCCTAAGAGGTAGATATTATATAACCTTCCTTTTACAGGTGAGGAAAACGAGACTCAGAGAGGCTAAGTTCTATGCCTCAGGTCACACAGCCAGTAAGAGACAGGGATCTGAACCTTGGTCAGTCTGACTTCATTTTTTTTTTATTTTATTTATTTATTTTTTTTTTTAAGATTTTATTTATTTATTTGAGAGAGAGAATGAGAGCCAGAGAGCACGAGAGGGAAGAGGGTCAGAGGGAGAAGCAGACTCCCTGCTGAGCAGGGAGCCCGATGTGGGACTCGATCCTGGGACTCCAGGATCATGACCTGAGCCGAAGGCAGTTGCTTAACCAACTGAGCCACCCAGGCGCCCTGGTCAGTCTGACTTCAAAACCAGTGTTTTTTTCTGTTGCATCATGCTGCTACAGAGGATTTGCCTCTTATTTATTTATTTTTAAGAACAAAGAGTCTTATAGAGACTAAAGGGTAAAGATAAGCAGAATGAAAACTCACTTGCATGTTTTAGGAGGCAGTTACAGAAAGCAGCGTTATCAGATTGACTTCTGGTCAAATCCTTGAGGCAAGCCCAGTAGCAAAAGCAGGACTGCTAGAGTACATGTTACTAACAGAGAGTGGTGGGCGTGTGGGCCTCCTAATGCGCTGCGCGGCTTGCTTTGCCCTGTACCTTGGTCAGCTGACCTATCACCTCGTTGTAGGGGAAAGCCCATCACTTGAAGCCAAGTGTCAAGGAGAAGCTGGTGGGCAGCCCAGTTCGCTCGTCTGAAGATGTAAGCCAGCGAGTCTATCTCTACGAGGGACTCTTAGGTGAGACACTGACTGGGAAGGCCTCTTGCACTGGAGGAAAGCTGGACTCGGAGGGGGAAGAGGGTGGCGCTGAACGGGTAGCTGCTCAGCTCTGTGCTGATCTCAGTGCTGATGTTAGAGGGCGTGTTTATATCTGAAGAATGTGACTTACTGGGTCTGGAAAAAGCCGTAGGTGAGCACTAGAAGAGACTGGATTTTGGTCTTAATCAACAGCCTCTGTCTTTCTGTCTGTCTGTCTTTCCTTTCTTGCTACCATGGTCCTTCCTGCTCACAAATGGCAGGAAGGGACAAAGGATCGATGTGGGACCAGTTAGAGGATGCGGCCATGGAGACCTTTTCTATGAGTAACCACCTTTCCTTGTGTGCTGTGCCCCTCCCCCCTCCTCGGGAGGGGCTGGGTCTCACTTGGAGGAGCTGGGGCTGGTGGCAGGAATGTTAGTTCTGGGGTGGAGAGGCTCACGTTTGCTTTGTCCTAGATTTTGTCCCTTTTATCTAGAGTTTACTCTTTACTTTGGTTTGGCAGCTGTGTTCTTTATATGTTAAATAAGCCCCTAGAAAAATTCCGTTCTGTGCAGGCAAAGAACGTTCTACTTTATGGGACCAAATGCAGTTCTGGGAAGATGCGTTCTTAGATGCTGTGATGTTGGAGAGAGAAGGAATGGGTATGGACCAGGGTCCCCAGGAAATGATCGACAGGTATAAGACTTAGTAAACACTTGGAAAATGCAAATTCAGCCTCCTCCAAGTTAGTTCTGTGATCTCCCACCTGAGGGCTGACTTGTCGCTGGTCTCCTGCTTAGGTACCTGTCCCTGGGAGAACATGACCGGAAGCGCCTGGAGGATGATGAAGATCGTTTGCTGGCCACGCTTTTGCATAACCTCATCTCCTACATGCTACTGATGAAGGTAATGTCGATTTCGCTTGTGCCTAGCTACTGCTGATGCCGGAAGGGCAAGGCTTGTTCCTGTGACCTAAATTCTGGGGCACTTGGGAAGCTGTCAGAGCATCTTACTAGGGCTCTCTTCCTGATTGAAAGTGTGAGGTCCCTCTGCAGCTTACACATGACCCATTGGTCTGAAGCTGCAAAGGAATGTTGTAAAGATGATTGGTGATTCCATACCATTTGTTTATTTTGAATTTTATTTTGTTTTTATTTAAAAAAATTTAGGGGTGGACACCTGAGTGACTCAGTTGGTTAAGCATCTGCCTTCGGCTCAGGTCATGATCCCAGAGTCGGGATCAAGCCTTGCATCGGGCTCCCTGCTCGGCAGGGAGCCTGCTTCTCCCTCTGTCCCTCACCTTCTTGTGCTCTCTCTCTCGCTCTCAAATAAATAAATAAAATATATTTTTAAATAAATAAAAAATTTAAAAAATATTTTTAAGTAATCTCTATGCCCAGCATGGTGCTCAAACTCACAATCCCAAGATTAAGAGTTGCACACTTGGGGCACCTGGGTGACACAGTTGGTTAAGCATCTGACTCTTGGTTTCGGCTCAGGTCATGATCTCAGGGTCATGGGATTGAGTCCCGCATCACGCTCCCCGCTCAGTGGGAAGTCTGCTTCTCCCTTTCTCTCTCCCTCTGCCCCACCTCGTGTACTTGCATGCTCTCTCAAAAATAAATGAATAAATCTTTAAAATAAATAAATGATCTTTTTGAAAAAGGAGTTGCATACTCTACCAAGTTTTGAATTTTATTTTTATTTATTTTTAAAGATTTTATTTATTTATATGAGTGGAGGGGGACAGAGCATGAACTGGGGCAGAGGGAGAGGGAGAAGCAGACTCCCCGTCGAGCAGGGAGCCTGACATGGGGCTCGATCCCAGGACCCTGAGATCATGACCTGAGCTGAAGGCAGACACTTATCCGACTGAGCCACCCAGGCGCCCCTATTTTGAATTTTTAAATGGGCTTCCTTTGCTAAGTAGTTTTAGGATGCCAGTAGAACTCCCTACAGAATACAATGAATTTAAAAAAAATTTTAAGTAATAGTTTCTAAAACCTTAGGAAGGATAGTCAGAGTTCAGTTTTCAGCACTAGCCCTTTATCATATAGAATTTTCCATAGATGTAAAAAGAGCTACTCATTAAAAAATTAATAGTAGGTTCTAGGTTGACTCGGTTGTACTTGGTTGTTAAGAAGAGTCCTGCTTTGAAAGGGCAACATAAGCTTGGGGTCGATGCCTAGAAGAGAGTTATTTTGAGAGAGAGCCCTTGGGTTTCTTCTCCTCCCCTTCTCTTAGCCTCTCAAAATATGAAGGGATTAGTTGATCAGATGCAACCTGACAGGCTGACTTAGTTTGTTTCATTTTCTGTTGTAAGGTTCACTCCTCTCTGTTGAACTCCAGGGGTCCCAGTGAACTCTGGTTGGGAAGGGTGGTGATCCTGAACCCCGGGAAGGTGTCTGTGCTACAGCCGAGCCAGAATGTCACGACTCTGAGGCCTCATTTCTGAACTATACTCTGAGGAGCCCCCGGGGTTCTTAGGGCCCTTCAGGGGTGAAGTTACGGTATCGGCTGGGGATAGGGAGGAAGTGTCTCCTTGAACCCCAGTCCATTTGAACCAGACCTGCTTTAGAGCTACTTTTCTATAGAAGCCACCCAGAGACAGCCAGGTTTTTCCTTCCCAGCCTGTTGGCAGAATAGACAGTTGAATGTTTTCTCTCAGATTCAGTGTGTGGACTCCAAATGGTCTCAAATGGTAGGAAACTTGCTTGTGCATTCCCTCTACGTCCTTTGCAAGGAGAGCAGATCCCTCATTAAGATCTCGCTTTGGCTTTCCAGGTAAATAAGAATGACATCCGGAAGAAGGTGAGGCGCCTAATGGGAAAGTCCCATATTGGGCTTGTGTACAGCCAGCAAATCAATGAAGTGCTTGATCAGCTGGCAAACCTGGTAAGCATGTCTGCGCCGTCCCCTAGGCTCCCCTCCCACTGCACTTGTCGCCTCCCAGCTGGGGCCTTGTCACCGAATGCAGAGGCTTCCCCACGGGTCATTTCTTGGCCTGTATACTTTCAAGACCCCAGTTTTGAAAATAGGGCTTTGGGCCTAGGTAATGGTTTAGTCCTTCTGTTCTGGGATAGGATTCTCTGTACTAAAACCATCCTGATGCAGCCATTTCAGCATGTGGTCTGGGGACTCCTAAGGATCCACGAGCTGAAACCTATTTTCATAATAGTACTAAAATGCTTGCCTTTTTTAACTGGTGGTACAAAAGCAGTGATGGATAAAACTGCTGGTTACGTTCACACAGTGAAGGCAGTGGTGCTAAACCATGCTAGGAGCCGTGCAGTGCTCTCTCAGTTTAAAAAAAAAGAGAAAGAAAAATAGTTGCACTTATGAATGTTCTTGATGAAAGCATTAAAATCATTAATTTTACTAAATCTGATCATTGATTATACATCTTTTTAAGATTTAATGTAACAAAATGAGAAATATACAGGAAGTATTTGTGCTACAAACCAAAATATGATTGTTTCAAGGAAAACCAGTTTGTGACAATTTGAGTTGCAAGGTAAACTGTCAGTTTTGTTCATGGGACATCATTTTTACTTGGAAGAATGACTAACTGTGGTCATTCAGAGTTGGGTATTTATTTGGCAGACTTTTAAGCATGAAGCTTCCTGATATTTAAAGGCTTTTGTAATGAGATTGATGATATTAATCAATGTGATTTTTTTTATATTCTCTAATGAAATGTGTCAATATTTGGAAGAGCTGCATTACTCCTTAAACCAGTATTTTCCAAAAGACCATTGGGTGGTGTTAGAAATTCAAGTATAAGTAAAGATCCACTCAAAATGCAAGGCAGACAAACGGATTTCATGTAACAAAGTACAAAATGTTCATTTTGATGGGTTTTCAGATTTCATATTGCAACTATCAGAAACTGTTACTTCTCAAGTTTTGGTATAATTACCAAAGAAAAATATGCATATTTATCTGGAAAATCTATTAAAATATTCCTCTTTCTAAATACATATCTGTGAGACCAGATTTTCTTTATATACCTCCCAAAGCAACATAACACAATGGATGGAATGCAGAAGCAGATAGGAGAATCCAGCTATTTTTTAAAGACAAACATGTGAAAAATGTAAAACAGTGCCAGTCTTCTCTTTTTTGTTTGTTGTTTTGGGAAATATGTTATTTAAAATATTTATATTACCATGTAATGGGTATATTATTAATGACTTTAAAATGAATTCATTTTAAAAATTTTTCAGTTTTAATTTCTAATATGGTAAATATCTATAAATATACCCCACATAAACCTAAGCTCTTGGGGGTTGTGAATAATTTTTAAGAGATAGAGGAGTCCTAAGACCCTAAAGTTTGAGAACATGTCCTTTGTGGCCTGTGACCAGCAGATGGCACTGTGCTAAGTAAGCTGATAGGAATTTAATTGCTGAAGTTGGGGTGGGAGCAGAATTCTTGGCCCAGAGAGCTCTGTGAGAGAAATATATGGATGTCCCTAACAGATCTCTCTTTTCTCAGAATGGACGTGATCTTTGTATCCGGTCCAGTGGCAGCCGGCACATGAAGAAGCAGACATTTGTGGTACATGCAGGGACAGACACAAATGGAGATATCTTCTTCATGGAGGTAAATGCTAGTTCATATGTCTCAAAGGGACATTTGAGAGTCACGAGGAACTTCTAGACCTGATACCTGATTTCTCCCACTTAATCTCATTCATCTTCATGATCCATTTATCATTAAATTGTCAGACTCTTATGCAAGTAATATAATGGATAATTCACCATCATTTGTTTTAAATAGATGTTGAGGGGCACCTGGGTGGCTCAGTCTGTTAAACGGCTGCCTTCGGCTCAGGTCATGATCCTGGGGTCTTGGGATCGAGCCCCACCTCCAGCTCCCTTGCTTCTCCCTCTCCATCTTCCTGCCACTCTGCCGACTTGTGCTCTCTCTCTCTCTCTCTCTCTCTGTCAAATAAATAAATAAAATCTTTTTAAAAGATTAAATAAATAAATAAATAGATGTTGCATACATGATGTAGTCACATTGTAAGTCAGGACAACTTAAAATGGTAGGCTTTGGGAAGTCTTGCTGTCTTTTTTATCTCCTTCCTCTCAATTTCCCATCCCCCTCACCCCTTCTTCCTATAGGTAACCACTTCTGTGGTCTCCTTTGTATCTTCCAGTGGTATTTTATACAAACACAATAAAATATGAACATAAGTTCTTCTTTTTCTTTTTCCTTACAGAAAGGTAGCACATCATATCCACTGCTCTGTACCTTGCGTTTCTCATTGAACATATCCTGGAGAGCTCTGTGTCAGTACAAAAAGAGGGTTCTCATTTTCCCTTTTTTTTTTTTTAGTTGAAGAAGAGTTGAGGTACAATGTTAGATTAGTTTCAAGTGTACAGCGTAGTGATTCGACGATTCTGTACATTATGCAGTGCTCACCATGATAAGTGTGGTCACCATCTGTCACCATACATCGTTATGATGTCATTCACTGTATTTCCTCTGGCTCTCATTCTTTTTATAGCTGTCTGGCACTCCATGGTGCAGCTGTACAGTAGTTGACTTAACCAGTCAGTATCTATGTGCGCGCCTGCTGCCCCCCAATACACGCACAGGCTCTGTAAGAGCTCCCAGAGGCCATCACCCCACCGAAGGGAGAACGCATTGATGGCTTTGGCTGATAGGACTCAGACGTATCTCTTAACATATAATAACTCCCCTCCCGCTTTGCCATTGATTTCGTTGAAGAAATGTGCCCCACGGAGTATCTCACATTCTAGACTTTCTGCTGATTGCATCTCTTTGGTGTTAACATGTTTCTCCATCACTTGTATTTTTTATAAACTAGTAGTTCAACCTAGGGGTTTGATGAGTTTCAGATTCAACATTTTGGCAAGAATACTTCATGGCTGGTGCTGTATGTGGCCTCTTGCCCCATATGGTCACCTCTCTCTCTTAGAGATCAGTAGGTTGAGATGTGGGCAGCCTGATCTGTTGTTCCCTGTGAAGTTCCTCATCAGTCCTTTGAGTTTGCCTATGGGTTTTTTGTTTGTTTTTCTTTGTTTGCCATGCAGAATTTTTTTACTTTTTCTTTTTACCCTCCCTCCAGCTGTTGGCAGAATCTTTTTACTTTTATGTAGTTGAATTGATTAGTCTTTTTTTTTTAAAAGCTTTTGGATTTTGAGTCTTAGGTAGAAAAACCCTTCCTTATTCCAAGATTGTAAAGGAAATTGGCTATGGTTTCTTTATTGCTATATTTTTAATTCTAAAATGAATCTCTTCTACATAATTGTAGGAATCAAGTACAACTCCTATATAAAGTAGTAAAATTAAATAATTTTACAAGTATTCTGTTTTCTTTTGGTTTAGTTGAGTTTGATTTTTACATCCACAGCTTTTTGAACGAGTGGTTTATCAAACATGGGGCAGGGGTTCTGCCCTGAAGCAGAAACATGCATGTTGTTGTAGCCGAGAAGAGAGTCATTTTCATGTTACTGTGAAGTTCTAGAATTTGGCTAGGTGTCTCCTTGAGCTGAGGACTAACTTTGGACATCTGCACCACAAAGAGGTGGCAGGTGATTCTCACCCTCTCCTTTTCCTTTTAAAGAATAAATCCAGAAGATTCCTTGAAGTATAGGACTAACTCTCACCACCACACAGGGGAGCCTCATACAAAGTTCCTGGAGTATGGGTGGATCCATCACCTTATAGATGCCTCTCCCTTAAGGTGTCAAATAAGACTGTACCTCACTCACCCCGTTAGCCACTTGGTACGCTTAGCCTGATTTAGCCTTTCTCATCCCTGCACAGCCTGCTGGCTGCAGGAGCACTGGGAGAGCGATTGCAAAGACTTTTAAAAGTCCCCTTTATTACTTTTTTTTTTTTTTTTAATTAAAGAAGTAGACTAGGGCGCCTGGGCGGCTCAGTCAGTTAAGTGTCTGACTCTTGATTTCGGCTCAGGTCATGATCTCAGGGTTATGAAATCGAGCCCCTAGTTGGGTTCCACACACTGGGCATGGAGCCTACTTAAGATTCTCCCTCTCCTTCTGCCCCTGCCTGCTTGTGCATGTGCGCACTCTCTCTCTCCCAAAAATGTAATGGTAAGTTACAGAAGTAGAACAGTATATGCTGTGAAAGTTTCAAACCATATAGAAGTAAATGAAATAAAAAGTAAAAGTTTCCCTTTACTTCCTTCCATGCCATGTCTCAGAGGTACCACTGTTAAAGAGTTTGGTGTGAATTTTAAAAACGCATATTTGTATAAATACAATTTACTTATGTGTAATTTTGTTTCAGTGTTTACAAAAGTGGTATCAAACTACAAATATTGAGATATAATTTGATTTTTAATTTATGACTGACATCTTTCCATGTCTACATGTTACCTAAATTTGTCTCTGTTTTTTTCTTTTTTCTTTTTTTGTTTTGTTTTGCTTTGCTTTGTTTTTGTTAAGTAAGCTTTATACCCAACATGGGGCTCAAACTCACAACTCCAAGATCAAGAGTTACATGCTTCACCAACTGAACCAGCCACACACCCCGTCCCTGTTTTTTAAATGGATGATTAATTTTGTTTTGTTTTGTTTTTTTAGCTATTAGGTGTTATATGGATGTATACCATAAGTCATTCAACTAGTCCCTCTCACTTTTTTTAAAATAATGTTTCATTGAATATACTTGAAAATACAAATGAGAATTTCTTTTTCTTTTTAAGATTTATTTTTATTTTATTTTGAGAGCAATGTGCGTGAGCATGCATTGGGGGAGGGGCAAATGGAAGGAATCTTCAAGCAGACTCCCTGCTGAGCGTGGAGCCCATCCTGGGGCTCTCTCCCACAACCCATAAGATCATGACCTGAGCCAAAACCAAGAGTTGGGCACTCAACCAACTGAGCCACCCAGGTGCCCCTCACATGAGAATTTCTATAGGCTAGATTCTTAATGTGAAATTTCTGGATCAAGCTTATATAGATTTAAAATTTGTATAGATTCTGCCAAATACCATCCCAAAGACTATACCAGTTTATTTCTCCACCAGCAGCATAGGCGAGTATGGTACATTATTACTGTCATCTCTCTAGCCTAGAAATCATATGTTCTAAATACCTATCCTGCCCCTCTCCTTTACATGGTGTTCTTAAAGGATTATGGAAAGTGGGGGTAGTAGTCTTCATTTTTCACCTGGAGAAAACTAGAGTCAGACTAGGGCTAGAATTCTAATTTCTACTCAGCTACTATATGACCTTTTGGAACCTTGTAACTCTTAGGTAGTAGATTAAACCTGGTAGTCTTGTGTATTCCTTTTTAATTCACTTATTCACTTAATATTTATGGAGCACATACGATATGCCAAGTACTTTGAGTATGTGGTTATAGCAGTGAATGAGAGACATGGTTTCTGTTGCCCTTATGGGGTTGACAAGCCATTGGGGAAGTCAGCTAATGAAACAAAGTGTCATAAAGTATGATGAATGTTATGAGAGAAGATGCTTAGGGCATAGGCAGGCAGGATGGGAATACACGGTAGAGGGTGTAGGAATTGTGGATGACCTCTCAGAAGTGACCTTTGAGCTGAAACTTGAAAGAAGTATGAATTAATGGCTGGAGCGGGGGAGGGGGAGAGTTCCAGGGGTATTTGAGGTGAAATGGATGGGACTCAGTGGTGTAGCGAGAGGGAAAACAAGGAGTCTCACATCACTCCTTCATTTCTGGCTTCGGCAGCTGGGTGAATGGTGACACCATTTACTCAACTAGGGGACTCAGAAGGAGGATCTGCCCAGGAGGAAATGCTGACTTCACATTTGGACATGATGAGATCGAGGTGCTGCCTGTGAGCCATCCAGATAGAGAGTGGTTCAGGAACTCAGGAAGATGTATGGAGAAGGATTGGAGAACCATCAGTGGGGTCATAATAATCATTGTTACATTTTTTTATATTATTATGTTGTTATAACATCTAACTCTAGGGTACTTCCTATATGCCTGGCTTTGTTCTAAGAATTCTATGCACATTGACTTATTTAATCTTCACATGAGGAAATGTAGATGCAGAGCAGCTTGTTCAAGGTGACACAGCTAAGTAATGGACAGCTGGAAACCTAACACGGTCTGATCTTAGAGGGAGAATGTTGAATAAGAAGAGAATGTGAAGGGGGCACCTGGGTGGCTCAGTGGGTTGAGCGTCTGACTCTCGATTTTGGCTCAGATCATAATCTCAGGGTCATGAGATCGAGCCCCACATCGGGCTCCACACTAGACGTGGAGCCTGCTTAAGATTCTCTCTCTCGCTCTGCCCATCCCCACCCCCGCTCATGCTCACTTGCGTGCACGCACACTCTCTCAAAATTAATTAATTACAAAGGACTTACAGTATTAAGAAGAGAATGTGAAGGAGGAGTTCGCCTTTTAATTATATCACCCTGTATTATATAATATTTTTTGTGGTAAGTGTTGCCCAAGTGTCACTAATGTGATTAATTATTGAAAAGATATATGCAGAACTGCGGCTGAGCCAGTATTAGAAAATGCCTTGGTTCCATATTTTCCTCCTTGGTTAAGCCTGCTGTAATCCCTGCGTCTGCGCTCATCCACAGAGATGGTCCCTAAGGTTGGTACCTGGCGGCGGGAGACACCCTCATAAGTCTAGAGCATATTGAGAGGTGATAGACGTTGCGCGAGGTGAAAATTGAAACACTGATTGCTTCCCCCTCCCTGCTCGCCGGCTCCTCTCCATGATTCCTTTTCTTTCAGCAAACCTCCCAGTGGACACTATGTCCAGCAGGTCAGTGTTTGTGTCCCCAGCGAAGGAGGACGGTGAGCGGGAGCCGAGGCAGCCGACCATGGGGTGCTCCCAGGCCCAGCTGCCCCGTGCTGCCCCGGGACAGGCCAGCACGGCCTGCAGCGATGGAGGCTGTAAGTGACAGGCCCCGCTGACGCGCTGGGTCCTCCCGCAGGTGTGCGACGACTGTGTGGTGCTGCGCAGTAACCTTGGGACGGTGCATGAGCGCTGGTGGTATGAGAAGCTCATCAACATGACCTACTGCCCCAAGACGAAGGTGTTGTGTTTGTGGCGTAGAAACGGCTCTGAGACTCAGCTCAACAAGTTCTATACCAAGAAGGTACCACGAGCTCTGTTCGGGAGGAGGGTGGGTGTTGAGGGCCAAGTGTCAAGTTTCTGGCAAGGAAGTTAAAATTCCACAGTCCATGTCAAGAGCCCCCCTTTGGCCTCCGGCTGTTGTGTGGGATGCATAAAGCTGTCTCCAGTGCCCGGCGCTCTGGCCTCGGCCCCGGCCCTTGGCAGACGGTGGAGAGCAGAGCGGGGGTACCCTGGCAGGTTGGGTGACAGGATGGTCCTCGCCCCTGTGCCGCAGTGTCGGGAGCTGTACTACTGCGTGAAGGACAGCATGGAGCGAGCCGCTGCCCGACAGCAGAGCATCAAACCCGGTGAGGAGACAAGGACTCCCTAAGCAAGGGCCTTTTGTTTGTTTCCATCCATCCTTCTCAGTGTCAGAGGCCTGACAAGGAGGTCAGGCATGGGGTTCCCCAGCTCCCCAGTTAGCTGATGACCTCCTCCCCCACCGCAGGCCCTGAACTAGGTGGCGAGTTCCCCGTGCAGGACATGAAGACTGGTGAGGGTGGCTTGCTGCAGGTCACCCTAGAAGGGATCAATCTCAAGTTCATGCACAACCAGGTAGGTGGGAGCGGCAGCACCGGCTGCCTGGCCCAGTTCTTCCATCTGCAGTAAGGCTCGGTGTCCAGGTCCCAGTGCTTTCCAGTGAGCCTGCGGGCCTTTGGGGCTAGTGGGAGGATGGGAGCAGCTGGACCAGAGAGAGAAATCAGAAGGAGGGCACAGTGACGTTGGCAACCACCTGGAAGGTGCAGTGGGGAGCCTCTGTGGGAGGCGGAGAAAGAGAGGGAGCCGTGGTAGCTAGGCTGCCTCCGTCCGTTAGACTCAGCACAGTGTGAGTGGGAGCGTCTCACTTGGCCCTTCTTCGCACAATGTCTGCCTTCCCTTATTCCCAGGGGGTGCTTCCGCTTGGTGGTTTTGCTTTGAGAGTCTAGACCAGCTGATCTCCTCGCGTGATTCTGGTATGCGTGAAGCTTGTGTATGTGCGTGTGCGCGTGCGTGCGTGTGTGTGTGTGTGTGTGTAGCTTGTGTCTGTCCTATCTGGAGTATGTGTGTTTATTTGCCTATTTCTCCTGCTGATTCTTCTTCCTAGTCTTTTCGTTCCTCTGAGTGTCCCTACTCTGTCCCCTCCTCCACAGGCCCCATTCCCCTTCTTTTGACTGGGGAGCACTTCAGAATACATCTTTCTCTCATTGTGATTCCACCATAGGAGCTGACTTTTTTTTTTTCTTTCTCTTGGTCTTTTAACACAGTGTTACTTTTTCTCTCAGTGGACATTCCTTAAGCTAATCCTTTCTGAGGCCAGCGCATCAGCCCAGGTCCGTTCCCCGTTCTGACTCTTCACACAAGTGCCTTCCCTCCCCCTTCCCTGACGTCCTGGTTCCTTTCCTTGAGGCTGTGAGCCAGGTCTGAATGTGTGAGCACCACAGCCCCGGGCCAGGCAGCAGACACTCAGGGGAGGTGACCCTCTGGACTCCGTGGCTTGCTTCCTCCCTTTGCCATTTTAGTTTCTTCTTTCAGGAACCCAACCGGGCAGCTTCGGTGTGATGGGAAACAGCTGCTCAGGCAGTGTGTTTCCAGCAGTACATTTACTATCCGTGATTTTAATATATTAAATAGCATACTTGAGACCTTCGGGTCAGCCCAAGGAGAGATTTACTGGAGTACTTTTCTGGAGCACGAAGGTGTCAGCACTTCTTGGGGAGCAGGCTTCTGACCGCCTTTTAGTGCCGTGGCTTCCCCTGATGCCTCACCTTCAGAAGAGGAGATCTTGTTAAACAACAGCCAGCCCCCTTCTGGGTCCCCCGCTCTGGACCAACCCAGTGTCTAACCAGTCCATGGATATGTACAAGCTGGTCTGTAGTTTAAGGCTTTGCCCTAGAAGAGAGATCCTGCAGAGAGGGGAGTCAGGCCCCGACCGATCACAAGAAAACAGCCATGGGGTCCATCTTCTACCACGAATGGTCTGTTGGAGTTGAGGAAGCATTGGACCCTCTGGTGGAGTCCTACAGGGTGGGGTAACAAACGGATCTTTGGAGTCAGGATGTGCTTGGATTCAGAGCCCAGCTTCGTTACTCGTGGGCAGATAAACTTTCTGATCCTGTGTGCTCCTCTATAAAACGAGGGTCGTACTACACACTGGGCCACATGGATGTGAGGATTGCAAATAGGATTTGTAGGACTCCTAGTCGGACTCCTAAGCAATAGCCGTTAGTCTCTCTCCGTGTACTTCTTGGGAGAGCCTGGATCTTGTGTCAAGGAAGATATCAACATCTCCCACCCCAAGGACAATCCGAGGGGAGCTTTGCACCCGTGCCAGCCCTCTGCGCCGGAGGAGGATGCATGGAAGGGTAGAGAGCTGATGGGCTGAGCGGGGAGACCCCCGGGGCACCGTGTCCTCCAAGCGCTGCCCTGGGCAGAGGGGATGGGCGGGCAGCCCAGGACAGCAGAGGGGCCTTCGGGTTGGGTTTGACCGTTAAAACTAACGCCTTCATTTCTCTCCCATGCTTTCTCCTCCGGCCAGGAGCGGAAGGTACATGCCCTTTCTGCTGTCTTCGCTTCTTAGCGCTTTTGAGTTGCGTGTGTGTGGATTCTCCGGCCCTCGCTCTGGGAACTAGGTCTTCTGTGTGGGGGCGGGGCTGTAGCCGGGAGAGCGGGCAGTTGTGGGGCAGGGGGGAGCCTCCGGGCCTGACCCCACCCTCCCTCCCTCTCTTGCAGGTTTTCATAGAGCTGAATCACATTAAAAAGTGCAATACAGTCCGAGGCGTCTTTGTCCTGGAGGAATTTGGTAATTACACTATTTTGCTCTTAGGTCTGGACTCACATGGCAGTAACTCAAACCTCGGCGCTCCAGAGGAGGGACTAGAGGCAGAGAGAAGAACCACCTCTGCAGAGAGGGCAGGAGGCTTAGGAGTGACAGGGAAGAGAAGGGAACCCGCGGTGAGCGAGGGGAAGGAGGAAGAAGGAAGAGCGAGACCGTGGCTGCCGGGGGACGGGTCTCAGAAGAGCAGGTGGCCTTAGACGGGGTCAGAGGTCAGAGACGCTCCTGTGGAGGCTCCGGGAGTGGGCACCGCCTTTCCTTCTCGGCCAGCTGGTGGTCAGAAAGTTCTGGGGCAGAGCAGACGGGCAGTTTCCAAGCTCTGCTGTGTTCGTGTCGCCTGCTGAGCTCCTCCTAGCAGCCCGGGGCTCCGTCCAGCCACCCCGGTGCCGCCCTGGTGTCCGCCTGGCCTCTGTGCGGGAGCAGGGCCGTGCGGTGGCCCGGGCAGCCTCACTCGAGAGGGCAGGGAAGCCTAGTGGGCCTCAGAGGCAGGCAGGGCAGTTGTCGCGGGAGGCTGGCGGCCAGCCTCCCTGCATCCCTGCAGCCAGGCGCCGACGCTGACCGGTGGTGTAGTGGGTTCTCACCCTGGGGCTTTGAGTTCCTGCTGTGTTTGTGCTTCATTCTTTTGTGCCCCTCATCGCTGCTATGAAAACCTTCGTTCTCCAGCAGGTAAAGTGACCTCGGCTCGTGCTGCCTCCCCCCCCCAGGCCCCTGCCTGGGCCCTGCCGTGGGCGGGACGGGCTCCCTTCAACCAGACCAGCTGCTCACACTGCCCTTTTCTCCCCCCCCTCACCCCCCACCCCCCCATCCCCGTGCTGGCTCACTGGTTCTGAGTTTTCTCCCCTGTGTGTTCCCTTCTCTCTTCTGCCAGAGAGATATTTGGGGAAATCTTCCAACTCAGGAGAAGGACCTGGGCTTCTTGCTCTACCTATGATGAGTTTATTCCCTGTTAACCCTGGGTCCCCCCCGAATTCTACCTCCCAGGGTCAGAAGAAGGTGTGGCCAACTCTCATCCTACCTTTTCTGGCCCCCAGGGGGACGCCACGCCCCTCTGCTCCCATCTCCAGGGGCCATCAGGATGGCTGGGCCCCTGGGGGGGCCTTCCTCCTTCCTCTGGCCAAGCAGAACCCCTGCATGGCTGGGGCAGGGGTGACTTAGTCTTGCATTCTGGGCTGTGGACATGTGTGTATTTTGCCTGATGCTCCCTGTCACCTCCCTCCCCGGGTGCTATACTCGCCTGTCTTCTGCTCGGTGTGTCTGCTCCAGAGCCCTCTGACGCTCTCCCTCACACAGCAGGCCTGGGCCTCTCCTGCCACTCAGGGAAGGACACTTACAAGTCTGCTGGGTTTTAGTATCATGCCACTTCTTCATCCAGCCTAAGGACCCTCTTCGTAGGGGCTGGGAGTACAGGGAACAAGCTTAACACGAACAGAGTGTCGGGCTGGTAACAGGGATGAGTTCTCGGGCATCTCAGCAAGGTGAGGCGCAGGCTAGAGACAACTCTCTTCACCCAACCAACATGGGGGAACGCCCCACTGCAGCTCCTCGGGGCCCTGGACATTAGCAGTGAGCAGGCTGGTGAAAGGCCAGCCCGCTCCTGTGTGGAGGCTCTCCCAGAAGCGGCTAGAGTCGTGGCCATCGAGCAGGGAGCCCCAGCAGACCCCACAGGTCTGGCTGCGGAGTCTGGGGCCGTGTCCTCTCATCCAGCAGCGGCTGGGCAGGTGCCGTCAGAGCGTAAGCTGCTGCAGCCCCTGGGACAGGCCACCGTGGGGAAGGGGACCCCGGTGCCGGGCGCTGCCGCCTGGGGGAGCCTGGCATTATCGCTCTTAGTTTTGAACTTTCTGTTTTGTCTCTTGCCCGTCCGGTTTTAGTTCCTGAAATTAAAGAAGTGGTGAGCCACAAGTACAAGACGCCCATGGTGAGTACGCCACCCAACCCCGCAGTCCGGTCTGCGCAGGGCTCCCTGGGGACCCTCACAGGAGTGGGGCGGGCCCTCTGAGAGCACAGGGTCAGGCGCACTAGGGTTGGTTGGAGAGCTGAGTTTGGTCTGGAAGCCGAAACGAGTCTTCAGCCCTGGGAGAGACGCACGCACGCACGCGCGCACGCACGCACCCCTGTCCCAGCAGTCAGCTGTGAGGCTGAGCCCAGCACGAGGGCAGAGTTTTCAGCTGGTCAGATCTCCCCGCGTGGAGATGTGGGAATCTCAGGAATTTGATCGGTCTGGTTTTTCTCTCCCCTCTAGGCCCATGAGATCTGCTACTCTGTGTTGTGTCTCTTCTCGTATGTGGCTGCAGTTCGTAGCAGTGAGGAAGATCTCAGGACCCCACCCCGGCCCGTCTCGAGCTGATGGGCGGGGTTAAGAGCCCCCAGTTCAGGGGGTGCCCTTGTGTCTTCTGCTCGCCAGGGCACGATGCTGCGTGTGTGTTCTCTGCGAGCCCCTCACCGTGGCTTAGTTGGTTCACAGTTGTGTGTCTCCGTGTGTCTTAGTGTCTGTCACAGGGCTCGGCGGGTTTCCTCCGCCTGCTCACTCTCCACTCCCAGACCAGGCTGCTGTCCCCTCAGGGCTCAAGAGCCATGTGTGTCTGTCTTTGGGGCCAGTGGCTTCTGACAACTCTGAGCACAGTATGAGCCCACCATTGCGTGTCCCTGAGACATTCGTGTTGTGGTTCCTCATCCTTGGCGTTATGAGCTCCAGTGCAGGACTCTGGCTCTCCGTCCTCTGGGGCCCAGCGTGCCTGGGTGTCGGGTGAAGTCCCATTTGATACCGAGGGAGGGAAGCTTGAGGCCTGTCCGCGCAGACGAGAGGTGGGCAGGGAAAGGCCAGGAGAGTCACAGGGCGGCAGGGTGAGCAGCAGCCTCCCCTCTCACGCATTTCCCAGGCTGACGGCTGCTGCCTGCCGTGGCCTCTGCAGGGGGGCAGCACTGAGGGGCTCTCCTTTGCCGAGCAGCAATTTCCCTGAGGTCTGCCTGGCCTTTGGCCTGAGAGAGCAAAGTGGTTGGGCTGGGAGAGCCGCAGAGGCCCCTGGCTCCTGTGCCCAGGGAGCAGCGTGGGCCGGGGCCATGTTTGGTGTACGTGGCCCGTGTCTGCAGACAGCGGCCCCTGGCCCTGGGTGCCAGAGCGGGGGATAGCCTGGGAGTGGGCAAGAGAGGGTTGTACATAGTTCACCTCTACGTTATTTATAGAAAATGTACAGATGTGTGAATGTGAAATAAATGTCCTGAACTCGCCTTGGGCTCCTGCCTGCCTTATATTTAACGCTGCCTGCTCTCAGCCCAGGCCTGAGGAAGGCTGTCCCCGGACTCTACAAAGGCCTGTCAGGCCTAAAAGGAGAGAGATGAGATCATGGCCCTCCGAGTCCTGGCGTGCTGGAGGCCCAGCCTCCCACCCCACTGACCCAGCAGGGCCCCTCACTTGGCTTCCTGGGCACCCAGGGAGAGGTTGGGGAGGGCTTCCTGCCCTCTGCCCCCTAGCCCTGCAGGGGGCTGCTGAGCTGAGAACTGGCCACCAGAGGAAGCAGCCAAACCCGGCTAAGACACCTGAGCAGAGTCATGTAGCAGTGAAGGAAAAACCAAGGCTCCCCTTGCCCCTCACAGGCGTGGTCCAGAGAGGGGGGTGTGACTTGGGGTGTGACTCGGACAGGGCCTGGAGCCCCGGGCTCTGAGCTCTTGGCCAGAAGTGCCTTGGGTTGGGTAGAACTCGGACAGAAGCAACCCTAGGACCAGGCTTCCTAGTATTGTTTTTTTCTATGCCATGGGGAGACCTCTGGCACTCCCTAGGACAAGAAAGACCATCCGCTTCTTTTTTTCTTTTCTTTTTTTTTTTGAGAGAGAGCAGTGTGGGGGGCAGGGGGGGAGAATTTAAGCAGGCTCCACACCCAGCATGGAGCCCCATGCAGGGCTCAATCTCACAACCCTGAGATCCTGACCTGAGCCAAAATCAAGAGTCCGATGCTTAACTGACTGAGCCACCCAGGTGCCCCAAGACCATCCACATTCTGTTAGGGCACCTCTGAGACCCGTTGGCTTCCTCTTCCCAAAAGTATGATGACTGGATTTAGGCTCCCATGGGGGAAGGAAGAGCAGAGGAGGGCCCTGGTTCCCAATCTTGTGCTGGACAGGACTGCCCTCTCCTACTGGGAAACAGGTGTGGAAGGGCCGTGGGCTTCTTGTGCACTGGGACCCCAAGGCAGCCTGGGGCAGCTCCATTCCAGGCCTTATGGGCCCAGACCCCACACTGAAGTTCAGCTCCGCCCCACGTCCAGGCTGCTGTGAGCACAGGTCAGCAGGACGAAGAGCGTACAGAGCACAGGGGACCAGGCAGGAGAGCCTTGGGTGTCGGCTCTGTGGCTAATACACCTCCCTCCATCACTGCCCCTTGCTTTCCTCACTGGAAGAACATACGCCGTGGGGGAAGACGGAGGTTTCTTCTAGTGTTTTGTGAATTTAGGATTCCCCTCTCACCCGGGACACAGAATACCTGCCTCAGTTTGCTTGGAAGGTCAAGTGTATTTCCCTGGGCTTTTTGTGAAAACAAACACATCGGACAAGAAGAGCCAGCTCTCTGACTGCAGTCGTCTTTTATTGCCCTTACCCTTTGAGAAGACGTGGCAGGCCAGAAAGGCCTATCCCCAACCACCATCTCCTGAGCCCACCGCTTTCTGCCCCAAAGTCCTGAGAGCTTCCAGGGGGAGCTCAGGTGGTTCTGTCTGTGCGGAGCCCCAGGCCTGCTCATCTTCATGGCCCTGCCATCCTGACGCTTCCCCAGCCCAGCCCCCGGATACACACTTGAGCACACACATCCAACAGCAGGAAGGCGGCTTGTTCAGCGTCCTTCCAGGCTCCCGGGACATGGGCCGCCATCCTGCAGCACCTGTAACACATGTTCCCTTGTGAATGCACTTGACTGAAACCCTGGGAAGAGGCACCTGTGCCTCTGTTTCCTGATGGCCATCCCCAAACCGAGGGCCAGGGCTCGGCCTCTGACTCGGGCCGGGGGCGTCGGGATGGCTTGGAGGACGTACCTGGCCGTCTCCGGGGAGCCAGCTGGGTCACTGAGGCACTGCAGGGGAGAAGGAGGCCATGCCACATGTGTGTTCCCTCTCCCAGCACCTTGCATGTCCTCCCCCCTTGCATGTCCCCCCCCCCACAGGCTCCTGGGAGGCCGAGGGGGCAGCTGTGGCAGCAGAGCCCAGAAGCCAATGCCCACGTTGGACACGACAGGGTCATTGCTCTTTCAGCCAGAACAGCTGCGTGGGCCAGGCCAGCAGGGTCCCAGCTGATTCCCTGCCTTCTCCACCACCCCGGACCCTGGTCCCATGGGCTCCTCACCTCGTACTTCTAGGCGGCACTCACACTGTGCCTCGCCTTGTAAGTTGGTGGCCCTACAGACATAGATGCCCCCGTCAAAGGGGCAGGGCTTTCTAATCTCCAGGGTCAACACTCCCTGCTTGCTGAACATGCGGAAGCGGGCATCTTCCCCCAGGTCCAGGCCATTCTTGAACCAGGAAATCTTGGGCTGTACGTCAGGTAATGGGAGGAAGGGAGACCATCTCAGGTTGACAGGAGACCTCGCGGGAACCTGTTTCTATTCTAGGGGCTCCCATTGGAGTCCACACGATACCCAAGCAGGGAATGAACAGGGAGCCAATGGAGACTGCCAAAGGCCCTCTTCAGGCAGAGGCGCCTGGCCCTGAGCCCCCGTGGGATAGAACGCAGGGAAAGGCTGGGGAGAGGACCGCTGGTGGTTGGAGCCTCTGAACCCTGCCTCCTGAGTCGGCCTGGCCCAGGACCCCAGGCTCCTTACCTTGGGGCTACCCCGGACAGCACAGCAGAGAGTAGCATTGTAGCCCGCGATGACTGAGCGGCTCACCAGGGGGTGGGTGAAGCTCGGGGCCTCAGAGAAGTCCAGGGCCTTATAGTTGGGGGGCTCATACGTGATGCCTGTTGGTGATAGGACTTTGTACCAAGAGTGTGATCCCACATTCGGCCCCCTCCCTGCTCCCACCGCCTCCCTGCCCCAGCTCCTGCTGGGGGTGGGAGTAAAGGTACAGCACCTGGTTTGGGGATAAACACAGGCTCCTTGGTGGTGGTGGCTTTGTCACTGGGTCCCACCATGTTATGGCTGAAGACCCGGAAGTAGTAGCCATTGCCAATAATGAGCTCTGACACCACGCAGTGAGTACGGCGGTAATGCTCCAAGACAGTGAACCACTCCTGGGGGTGTGGAGGAAATGGGGGCTCTCTGGGGGCCGGCCCTACTATCTGCCAGGGGCCTCTTCTGGGTACCCCTGCTGTCTGCACCCCAACTGTGGAGGGAACCAGGTCAGAGAGGGAGGATGAGCGGCAGGCCCATTCTAACGACTGAGGCGGGAGCTGGGGCCAGGTCTGCCTGGCCCTAGGCAGGGTATATATGGGGGGCCCGGGACCCCAGGCTCACCATGGTCTTCCTGTCGGCTTTCTGTACTGTGTACCCCCAGATCTCCGTGTTGCCATCATCTTGGGGTGGCTTCCACTCCAGAGCCACGTTGAAACCCCAGGCTTCAATGACCCGAATATCCTGGGGAGGGCTTGGCTTGTCTGCAGGAGAAAGCCCAGCTGGAACACACCTCCTGACCTGGCCCCCCACCTTCTGCGGGGGCTCCGGGCATCCCAGAGGAGGGGCCCCAGCGCCACGCACCAACGATCTGCAGGACCAGCGTGGCCTTGTCCTCCATGTTCTCAATTCGCAGCACCACCTGGTAGGTGCCAGAGTGGGCCCGGCGAGCAGCCCGGATGAACAGGATGGTGTCTGTGGGGCTGTTGCGGATGCTCACCTCGTCGCCTGCCAGGGGCTGCCCCTCTTTGGTCCAGGTCACCTGAGGCCGGGGCTTGCCCTGTGGGGAGGGACAGCTCACCCCCGAGCCTGGCACGACTGGGTGGCATTTCAGGGTCTGGTCAGCCCCGAGACACATCTCCCTGCTAGGCATAGATGACATGCGGTGGGGGGGCGGGGGGAGACAGGGAGGGTGGCCGGCCCTACCTGGAAAGGGATGAGGAGGTTCACGGGCTCCCCAACCTTTCTCTGGATGGTCTGGCGCAGGTGCCTGGGCAACTGGAGCCGTGGCCGCTCTGTGGGTGCCAAGTGGGTGGCTCAGCAAGGGGAAAGCTCTCCCCGAGGAGCGCCAGAGCCCTTCCCCTCCGGACGCGAGCAGGAAAATGCCCCTCCCTTAGTTCCCCCAGCCCCAGCCCCAGCCCCAGATCATCTACAAAATCCCTGCTTCCACCTCAGCCTCACCACACCACTCTGAGTGGCAGGGATCAGAGAGGGTGAGCAACGGGTTCGAGGTCACACAGCTAGCAAGTCACAGGCCAGGATGCAAATGTAGGGTTTGGGTCTCTACCCTATCCCTCAGGCTATTTCCGCCGGTCTGCTGCCTCTTTCCAATCCTTACATAATTGATCCTTTGCTGGGAATAGAAGAATGGGAAGTGGATCCCAGATGGGCCAATGTGATGCTGAGTCATGAGCACAGGGACAGTACCTGTGGAACTGAGAGGCTCCTAGAACAGAGCTCAAAGACAATGGTGTAATGACCTCCACGTTCCCTGTCCCAGAACCCTGTCCCGGAAAAACTCAGGAAGCCCTCTCCAAATATTTGCCCTGGGCCTGGGGCACAAAAAAAGGCTCCGACCCTCCTGTCCCTGCACAGCGTTCGGTCCTTTTTCCCAGGAGGGGCTCCCCGGATGTGCCCCCTTCCACTGACCCCAAGGACCAGGGCGCCCGTGGCAGGTCTGTCCTGTGACTGCACAGGGGCCACTCACGCAGTATCTCCTGCACCGTCACAGGCTCCTTGGTGGCGACGGGGGCTCCAGGCCCTGCCATGTTGTGGGCGCGCACACGGAAGAGCAGCCGGGCCCCGGTGGGCAGGTCCTTCACCAGCATCGAGGTGCGCTCTGTCAGCCCCGGCAGGGCGGCCACCCACTCCGAGCCTGGCGGGGGGGAAGCCCACGGGCAGCGTCAGCATCAACAGCCCACCCCGCTGCGCACCCTCCCGTGGCCGTCTGGGGCCCAGCGGGGTGACAGGTGCCTGGCCCGGAGGCTGGTTCAGAGGAGGGTGCTGGGTGGGGGCCCAGGGCGGGGCCGGGGCACTCACAGCCCTCCCGGCAGTACTCCACACTGTAGCCGTCCAGGCCTCCGGCTCCCACACGCTCCGGCGGCCGCCACTTGAGGGAGACGGTGGTGTCGGACAC